TTAATTTTGTTAGTAAAAAGATTATCTAATATCCTTTAGAATGTCGCCTTTTTAAGTGTCCCTATAATGAAGGCGGTAATAACGCGTGGTAAAAGCGAAATTTTAGCTGGACAAATTAGTACACCATAGAATTAGCCGATTTGAGCATGCTTCATTATAACAATTTTGTATGAAAAGTAGACGTAAGTACTTGGACTCTTAAAACATTTTGTTTTTAATTTCTACAAAAAGTAACAAATATTTGATGAATTTAAATGTTTATATTGCATCTTATTCTTATGATTGTATCACACATCAATGAATAGAGCCTGTAATATATCCCTCCTACCTTTCATTTCCAGTTTTCTGTTACAGACTTTAACTTTAAATAAAAATAGACATTGAAAAAAAGAAACGAAATGAAGATACTGTCAGCGCTTTGATTAATAAGCTTAAAACGGTTTCCGGATGATAGCATCATGCCAATGACGGGAAAAATATAAAGAGTTACCCCATAGTGGACCCCGGGGAAAAAATCACCCTATTTGCAAAACTTTCACATGTTCAAGTTTTCGTCATGCATTTTTTCAGGGATGCGATTTTAGTTTGTTTAATGGATTTGCTGGCCGGGTTTTCCGGAGGCTTCGTTATCTTCTCGGTACTCGGACACGTGTCACATGAAACTGGAATTGACATCACAAGTTTTAATCAGTCAGGTAATAATGTTGACATTATCATGAGTTGCGAGATTTTGTACCCACAAGAAATGACATACAATTTCGTACATTTCTTCCATACTTGAGGCTTTTATAAGTTGTAGTTGAATACTCAGAATCGTCAGCTTTTTGCTACTTCCTGTATATTTATTTTAATCTGATACCCGATTATGTAATGGACTTTTTAAAAAATGGATAGTCTGTAGATATAAATTTTTATTAATTTTTAAAGGGGTTTATATCGCATCTTTTCTTAGATTGTTATCAAAACCCAATGTAGCGATAGACCTGTAATTTTTCCTCCTTTCATTTCCATTTTTTCTTTTACAGTCTTTAACTTTAAAAAAAAAGGGGAAAATTGAAAAGCCCAAATAAGGACTATCAGGCTTTGATTAAAAAGCTAAAACGGTTTCCGGGTGATAGTCACTTTTTCATATCATGCCAATGACGGGGAAAATTATAAGAGTTATCCCACTGTGGGCGCCCGGGAAAAAATAATCCAATTTGCAAAACTTTAACATGTTCAAGTTTTCGTCATTCGTTTTTCAGGATGCGATTTTAGTTTGTTTAATGGATTTGCTGGCCGGGTTTTCCGGAGGCTTCGTTATCTTCTCGGTACTCGGACACGTGTCACATGAAAACTGAATTGACATCACAAGTTTTAATCAGTCAGGTAATAATGTTGACATTTATCATGAGTTGCGAGATTTTGTACCCACAAGAAATTGACATACAATTTCGTACATTTCTCTCCAATACTTGAGGCTTGATAAGTTGTAGTTTAATACTCAGAATCGTCAGCTTTTTCTGCTACTTCTGATCTAGATAGCCGAGTTATGTAATGAGTGGCATAGACTGTAGATATGGTCTTCGTGTCCAAAAATGTATTACGAATATGTTATAGCTTATGCGTTTTACTTCCAGGACACACATTTCCGTAGTTTATTTTCGGAAAACCAAAATCTTGTATGCAATAGAAACAGAAACGGTATAATTATTCCAACCATAATAAAACCTTTTAGGTATTTGTTAATGTCTTCAGCACTTATTCCTATGTTTTCAGAGGATTAAGAACCTTGGCTTAACGATTTTTAATGGATGAATCGGATATCCAGTTTTAGGATTTAAAGTTTAAGGAGACTGTTAGTATTGGTAGTCATCCTCAGGTTCATATATGCAAAATTAGTATGTAGTCATTCTCAAATTTATCTGCAAATTTAGCAGGTAGTCATCCTCGGCTCCATCTGCAAATTTAGCAAGTATTCATCCTCAAATTTATCTGCAAATTTAGCAGGTAGTCATCCTCATTTTTTTCTGCAAATTTAGCAGGTAGTCATCCTTGGGTCCATCTTCAAATTTAGCAGGTAGTCATCCTCATGTTTTTCTGCAAATTTAGCAGGTAGTCATCCTCATTTTTTTCTGCAAATTTAGCAGGTAGTCATCATCATTTTTTTTCTGCAAATTTAGCAGGTAGTCATCCTTGGGTCCATCTGCAAATTTAGCAGGTATTCATCCTCAAATTTATCTGCAAATTTAGCAGGTAGTCATCCTTGGGTCCATCTGCAAATTTAGCAGGTAGTCATCCTCAAATTTATCTACAAATTTAGCAGGTAGTCATCCTCGGGTCCATCTGCAAATTTAGCATGTAGTCATCAGGGCCATCTGCAAAATTAGCGTTAAAACAATTATCATAATTCACTAGTATTTAATAAAATAAAATAATATATTTCAATTTCTTATTTCATACAGGATATGGTTTAGGTTTTATCGCTTATCCTGAGGCGGCTAATTATTTACCTCCACCTCAACTCTGGTGTGCCTTATTCTTCTTTATGTCAATATTCCTGGGAATAGACTCTCAAGTAAGAAATAAAGCAACATTGTATGTTGAACAATAATTTCCGTTTGCAGTGTATAGAGTTTATCATATTTTATCATTTCGATCATTTTCTTCATTTTTAACGGACACGTACGTTGGTTGCACTAAAAAAGAAAAAAATCAAAGGTGTATGCCAGGTACAGGTTTATATAGACAAACATGCTGAATAAATACGTTGTAGTAGAATTTATTTAAACTTTGCCTGGTTTTCAAATATATTAAAGGCCCAATATGCCCCAGAAATCCATGTCTTTTTTAAGTATTTTGAAATGTTAAACATTTGTTTAATAATGTTTAAATAATGGATTTAGAGCATGTTAGATGTTTACCAACTGAAAAAAGTAGCACTGAACAGTCATGTGCCGTACAGGTAGCAAAATGTAAACAAAGTAATATTTTGACTTCAATACAAAATACTAAATCTCTATAATTATACCAATTACCAACAGAACTAAAGATGCAAAAGATAGTTCATGTATGTAGAAAATAAATATAGATTTAGAAGCTGTTACAAGATACAAAAAATAAACAGCTTTTGAGAAATAGAAATGAAAGCATATCCTAGGCATTATGGGCCTTTAAGCAAATAATAGGGGTCACATAGCTCAATTGTCTCTTCTGTTTCTTATCTGTTTCAGTCCATGAACTGTCGATTTATTCATTCATATCAAACCTTTATCTATAGTTTCCAAACTACGAGATTGTCGTGACAGCAATTAAAGACGAGTTCAGCAAGCGTTTACATGGAAAGACAACACAGCTTACACTGATAGTAATTGTGTTAGCGTTCCTGCTCGCAATTCTCAAGTCACAGGGGAAAAATTAATTAAACAAATCATAACTTTATTTTTTGGCCCGTTCAGTAACCAAATTTGTTGTCATTCATCAGCAATACAATTTCATTTGAAATGTTTGACTTATGTCCTGGTATGAAATATTACCAAGCTTGTTCCAAATTAAGGCATTATTTTCAATGAACTACATATAACAAATGTGAGTAAATTTCAAAATCTTATCCGGATATATTGAAAACAATTACGAATTGTTTTGAGCGTAATTATGATAACGATGATGATGTTGACGATGGTTATATGATGGTGATGATGACGATTGTGATGATGATGATGAGGATGGCAACGACGACGTCGGTCATCGGATGGTAAGTTAAGAATTGGTTTGAGCATATGATAAAGATGATGATGACGACAACGACGATAATGATGATGATGACGACGAAGATAATGATGATGATGACGCCGACGATAATGATGATCATGATGACGATAATGATGATGACGACGATAATGATGATGATGATGACGATAATGATAACGACGACGATAATGATGATGATGATGATGCCGACGATAATGATGATGACGATAATGATGATGATGACGACGACGATAATGATGATGATGACGACGATAATGATGACGACGATATTGATGATTGTCATGATGGTAATGATGATGCTGATGATGGTGGTGATAAAGACGACGACGACTTCTGTAATAATGATTTTGACGATGATGATGGCAACGACGCCGAGGACGACGACGATGATGATGTTCATTATTTCCAGATTTTAACTTCAGGGTGGTTACTATCTACTCACACTGTTGGACTGGTATGCGGCGACATTTTCGGTGACAATATTTGCTCTCATTGAGTTGTTAGTGATGGCGTATGTCTACGGTAAATATAACCAGAATATTAGAATATGTTATTTCAAAATAACAGTTGTTGTAGTTTATCAAGTGAATATAATGAATATGTCAAAATATATTTAAACATTAACAGAGCGTGCTGTTAACTTAAAGTTCCACTTCACATTTATTACATTATGTAGAAACCTGTTGTTAACTTGCCAACTTTAAATGCCTTTTTAATTAATTTGCTGAATGGTTCTGATAATTTCCATGCTTTGGCATGGTAAGGAAACATTTGAAAGAAATTTGATAAATCACCCTGTAAGCATAATTGTATAGGTCACGTGACATACAATATCATTACATGCAATTAAAGGTATCAAAAGAGTTGATGCAAATATGCGGGAGATGACAGGAAATGGGGTACCGCTGTTATTCAAAATTGCCTGGTGTGTTACAACTCCTATACTTCTTGCGGTATGTTTCTATCCGTTTTCAATTTACATTATATCTTCTGACGTCATTGTAAGCCAAACTTTAATACTTTTATGCAGATGTGACTGACAACGAAGTTATGCTTTACTACAGATGGCAATGACAACCAATATTTTATGCATCAATGCAGATATGATATAATAGGTAACGTTAATACAGATGCAATTGGCCAGCAATATATTATGCATTACTACAGGTGCAATAGGCAACCAATAGTTCATGTTGTAATGCAGATGACATTGGCCAGCAATATCTTATGCATTTATACAGATGCAATGGGCAACTAATACTTCATGCCATTGGCCAGCAATATTTTATGCATTGATGTAAATGCTATTGGCAACCAATCTTTCAGATACTATTGGCAACTGATATTTTATGCATTTATGTAGATGCCATTGGTTGTCAATCTGTTATCATTAGAAGACTTAAAGCTGATCACACAGACGCCTTTATTAGCCAATCTATACTGATTAAAGCAATGACGTCATTTTAGAATTTGTGATTGCTCAAGCCTTTAGACATGCGAATTTCATTCAAGGTCACCCTCGGTTTCACCGTATACACCTATGAACCGCCTTCATACGGCAGTTACGAGTACGAGCAATGGCATATCGGATTAGGATGGTGTATCGCCTCCGCTTCCCTCGCCCCTATACCAATATACGTCATCTATAGGCTATACAAAACACCAGGGACATTACTTGAGGTAAAAGTTACTGCTGAACTTATTTTCTTTCTGTGATATATTGTTTGTTATATTGTATTGTTAGTTTGTTTTAGTCTTAATAAAAGTCATGGGACAAATTCTTTTCTTGCGAACTTTTTAATAAGTAGAAATGTTGGTTTGAATAGAATTTAGATCCATTTTTGTTTAGGGAGATAGTGAACACTAGTAGTTTTCCGTATAGCATACTGAAAGATTAAGTATCCTATTGACGGATGGATATATACATGTATCTAATACAATTCTTTTGAAAACATCTACATTATTACTTGGAATTATTTTTAAAGAAAATTTCTTCTTTTTTTTCACAGAGGCTGAAAATAAACTTACGCCCAAATGAGCTGTGGGGCCCACCAGAAGAAATAAGAAATCCGGAAATCATCCCACAAGAAAAACTTTGGGGACCAGCATTTACCGGAAATGACGACATCAAAACCGATTCTTCAAAATCTCCCGACAAAATTGACGGACTTGACAATCCCTCATTTCAAACAAAACTATAATTGAAGTATTGAAATTCACACATGTTAATTGTACTATCAAACAATGTACTTTTCGTGTGACATTGGTACTGGTGTAAAACAAAATGGTACTGGTGTAAAAATATTGTTTTCGTTTTGTACATGTGTGGAAACAATTCTTCATAGAACAATGTGCAAATTATGTATAACAAAATGTATATGACAAATCCGGAAATAGTATTGTCACTATTCTGTCATAGGCACATGACGTCACTTTCTAAATAACACAACACAAAGGTGAAAGTCGAAATAAAATTCACAAATTTAAACCAAGAATTGAGTTCAACATGTAATGGTCGAAGTTAAACAAGAAATATAACTTATACATTTAATCATTTTCAAATGTTCTACGCATATTACCATTGTTAACTCTAACCTCACACAAGAAATGTTTAATTTTCGTTTCTATATAACCAATTGTAAATATTTACTAGCGGCTTTGCATCAGAAATATTGCTTATAATCTGTATTAATAATTCTTCAAATGTTGCCTTAAACCTTGAATTAAAATTTGCTTAAATATTTAATTATAATATAGTTGTCAATTTTTCTAACTTAGATAACTACGGAAGATAATTAGTGCCAGGTGCATGTTTTTTATTAACTCGAAATTTCGAGTTACTAACTCGAAATTTCGAGTTACTAACTCGAAATTTCGACTTACTTATCTCGAAATTTCGAGTTACTTACTCGAAATTTCGAGTTACTAACTCGAAATTTCGACTTACTTATCTCGAAATTTCGAGTTACTTACTCGAAATTTCGAGTTACTAACTCGAAATTTCGACTTAGTAACTCGAAATTTCGACATACTAACTCGAAATTTCGACTTAGTAACTCGAAATTTCGACTTAGTAACTCGAAATTTCGACTTACATTGCACGTCTTTCATTGGTTGCCGGTGAAAGCAAGGATTGAATTCAAGATACTTTCTTTCGTGTGTAGCTGTTGCACATTGACAGAGCACCTTTAACATTTATTTAGCAGAACAATTTTATAGGGTCAAATTGTCCACACATACTGAACATATCCTTCGCTTTTTTGTGGAGGGGGGATGTAAAATCACACTTTCCACATTTCCGTGTTAACCGGGTGTTTCTTTTTTCTTAAGCACACATACAACCATCATATGGAGAAACAACAAGTCCAAAACCCACCCTATTGTAAACTGTGCAATATCATGTGTTAAATAAGTTTTAAATGACGTGTATACGCCAGTTAGTCAGTCACGTTTCTTTATACTAATAATGTTTTTGTAACATTATTCATTATTTACTAATACTTTGATTCATATTGCGTTGATAAAAGTTGATAAAAGTTATACTTGTTATAATATATATGTTGGGAACAATATAAAAGCATCCGATTTTACAAGAAATATAGTCAGTCCAACAATTTTTACAAAGGCCTCAGCACGCCCTATTTTGGCCACGCCGCGATACTTTCCTCAGATGTACGGAATGCCGTTAGGGCTATTGCCTATGAATGTGTTGATCTGAAACGCGATAGTCGATAGTACGATGGTGAAAACGCGACAGTACGATACTACGATGATGAAAACGCGATAAACTATCGTGTTTTCACCATCGTACTGTCGCGTTTTCACCATCGTAGTTTCGTGATTTCGCGTTTTCATCATCGTTCCATCGCGTTTTCATCATCGTGCTTTCGCGTTTTCACCATCGCTGTTTCGTAATTTCGCGTTTTCACCATCGTACTATCGACTATCGCGTTTTAGATCAACACATTCATAGGCGATGGCCCTAACGGCATTCCGTACAGATGTCCCACACGTGAAGTATAGGATCGTTTTTTTTTTACAGGGATGAGAAGAATATGATTAGTGAAAAGATATGTTCGTACAGATGGGATACAATACAACGTCTTAAGAACGCCTGAACGTACAAATTAAAGGAAGCCTTGTATTTTTTAGGTCGGGTGTGAACATGCCATTACTAAGTTTAAGTTAAATTTCAATAGTTTTTGTCCAGGCACCCGTTTCTCCATCTCCATCGTTCAACGGCACTCCCTACTATATCTTATACCATCTAACTAATAACTTTGGCCGGGTTAGTATGTCGAAATTTCGAGTTAGTATGTCGAAATTTCGAGATAAGTAACTCGAAATTTCGAGTTAGTAACTCGAAATTTCGAGATAAGTAACTCGAAATTTCGAGTTAGTAAGTCGAAATTTCGAGTTAGTAACTCGAAATTTCGAGTTAATAAAAAACATACACCTGGCACTTATTCTCTTCCGTAGATAACGGCGTAAATGTCTTTCCATAGTTTAGAAATGCACAAAAGCAAATTTTTTAAAGTAATAGCGCACCAGTAAACCGTAACAGAAATGTGGAAGCGAGATTTTGAACAAGAACAAAAATATATCAGAATCTAGCTTTTTGGAGTCGGTTATTTAGTATATAGGACCTATGTAAAGCCTGTAGTCTTCTTTTAAGATATACAAATGTAAAAAATTAGAAAAAAAAGGGAAAAACCCTTTAATTTTAAATCTAGATCATGGGGGTTTAAAAGGGGCATCAATGACATGCATCTAGGTCAGTCAAAAACTTTAATAATTAGTTGGGCCCGGGTAAAATTTCAAAAACCAAAAAAAAAATAAAACAGCGGGGGGGTGTGTAAGTGGGAAAACCCTATGGTTAATTTTATGCCAATAATTTACCTCCTTAGAAAGTTTCCTAATCATATTCCAGAGTTTAGATTATTGTTTGATATTTCCTTAAAAATACTGGGAACGCGCATTTTTGCATTTTTTTTAAACTAAATATGTTTTTGACCCCTTTTTATCGGCCTAACAGTAGAAAAAAGCTGGCTACGCCCCTGTAATGTCTTTGTTCTCAAATGTAGCGTCTTTTGTGAACTTTCGCTACCGTGGTGTGATCACCTCAATTTTTTTGTTGTACTCCGAACATCTAAATATAACTATGTTAAAAAAACGTTTTTTTGTTCAGTGTTTTTTACAACTCCAAGTGTGAACACATCTATGTTTGAAAAATGAGTAGATATAGTCAAAAGGGATTGAAAAGGTTTTGGGGGTTGAAATAAATAACTGAAAAAAATCCCAAGTAAATGATTTTTATTTCCTGTACACTTTGGATAAAAATTGCAACGGGAAGTTCTGAGGAGTAGTTCAGACAAGTTTTGTGACAGACCAACAGACAGACTGAGAATCACTCTCTGTGTATGTCGCCACCACTCTGTAGTTTGCACCCTTTGCAGCATACTAAATATACTCGCGTTACTACAGACAGTGAGCAGTAGTGTAACATTCGACCGATGCGCAGGAGAGTACTCTGTAGAAGCCATTGCCACAACACAAAAACTCAGAGGTATAGAAAACAAACTTTTGTTATCTTTTTTAAAGTCATACATCATTTATTAAACACAGACAAATCTCAAAACAATAATAATTAACTAACATTGATGAAAAGTCACAGCTAAAAAGCTATTGACAACATGTAGCAACAAATCCTTTTGACATTTAATGCCCTATGCAATACAGACAAGCTACAATAACCAGCCCCCCTATGGAGGGAAAATGCTCAAATTTCAAGTACAACATAAATATTTGTTATTCTAACATTAAGGTGGTTTGTCCAACATGATTTCATCTCATAAATATGGGCTCACACTTAAATCAATTCAAATCATGAATTTAGAACCTTTCATACGAACATGCAGCAAGAAAATTCACTTAGCAATCACACTTGAGAGCTGATGGGTTTAGACCTTTAGGTGATTGTTTTAGGCTACGTCTTTGGTTAACAAGATAACTGTCTTTGGTTAACAAGAAAACTGCAAGCAGCAAGCAGTGTTAACACTCGTCTGTTATAAATTCTTAAATAAAAAGGGGGCATAACTCCAAAAATATTGCTTTCAGAATTATTCCCCTTGTCTTACCACTGCATCAGATCATGATAACCAAGTATTCCAAGTTTCATGGTAATACCTTTTGCAATGTTTGAATAATTAAAAATTTATAGTTTTTGCACAACACCTTTGACAACCCAGCAATCATAAAAGCTTGATTTTTCTCCGAAACAGACAAGCTAAAAATGTTTACAACTAGATAAGATGCCTGTAATTATATACACAAATTTAAATGCCTTACACTGATAATAATGCCACAATACTGAAAGAAATATACACAGTACATTAATATATCAACCGTAATAATAAATTTTAATCTGGATTCCTTCTCATACAAAAAGATAACTCTATCATAAATCTTAATCATGATTCCTCCTCATAGAAAAAGATACCTCAATCATTAATCTTAATCTGGATTCCTTCTTATTAAAAAAGATACCTCAATAATAATTTTTTAATATTGATTCCTTCTCATTCAAAAAGATGCCTCAATGATAAATTTTTAATCTGGATTCCTTCTCGTAGAAAAATATAGGCTATCTCCACAATAGAGAATACAAAGTTTATCATTTTATGTCAAAATAACAATTCCTATGCTCCCACTTATATCTCAAAATACAAAAATAGTCCATTTATTATTGCAGATTACTATAGTATCTTTCAACACATGATTTCAGGTATACTTCAATTACTCACACTTGCATCTCTTTCATTGCAGATTTATTAAGTCTATGCATATTCAATAACTGTAAACAAATATGTTGATGTCTTTAAGATCGTTATGTGTTGGTGAGTAACTTTAAGATAGTTTCTAGACAATGTATCCAGAAAAAAAACTTTAAACAAATTTTAATCTTGCAAAATATCCATTCTCCAAAAAATGAAAATTGATTCTAAAAACTCTCTTCTTAATAATAAAGATTCTTTGTAACATATTAAAACAGTTTCATGCACAAAATACTTTAAAACTTCTTAGGAGACATATACAGTAAATGTCCAAGGGCATACCAAAATTGTCAACGACATATTAAATTAATCTAAAGGCATGCAAAAATGTTCTCAGTACAAATCAAATTTGTCAAAGGTTACCGCATGCAAAAAACAAAGGACATATCAAAATTGTCAAAGAGGACAAATCAAATTTGTCCAAGTACATGCCAAAATTGTTGATTGTCCCAGGACATACCAAAATTGTCCAAGTACATGCCAAAATCGTCAATTGTCCAAGTTGATGCCAAAATCGTCAACTGTCCAAGGACATACCAAAATTAGCCAAGTACATGCCAAAATCGTCAATTGTCCAAGTACATGCCAAAATTAGCCAAGTACATGCCAAAATTGTCCAAGTACATGCCAAAATCGTCAATTGTCCAAGTTCATGCCAAAATCGTCAACTGTCCAAGTACATACCAAAATTAGCCAAGGACATACCAAAATCGTCCAAGTACATGCCAAAATCGTCAATTGTCCAAGTTGATGCCAAAATCGTCAACTGTCCAAGGACATACCAAAATTGTCCAAGTACATGCCAAATTCGTCAATTGTCCAAGTACATGCCAAAATTAGCCAAGTACATGCCAAAATCGTCCAAGTACATGCCAAAATCGTCAATTGTCCAAGTTCATGCCAAAATCGTCAATTGTACAAGGACATACCAAAATTGTCCAAATACATGCCAAAATCGTCAATTGTCCAAGTACATGCCAAAATTAGCCAAGTACATGCCAAAATCGTCCAAGTACATGCCAAAATCGTCAATTGTCCAAGTTCATGCCAAAATCGTCAACTGTCCAAGTACATACCAAAATTAGCCAAGGACATACCAAAATTGTCCAAGTACATGCCAAAATCGTCAATTGTCCAAGTTCATGCCAAAATCGTCAACTGTCCAAGTACATACCAAAATTAGCCAAGGACATACCAAAAGTGTCCAAGTACATGCCAAAATCGTCAATTGTCCAAGTACATGCCAAAATCGTCAACTGTCCAAGTACATACCAAAATTAGCCAAGGACATACCAAAATTGTCCAAGTTCATGCCAAAATCGTCAATTGTCCAAGGACATACCAAAATTGTCCAAGTACATGCCAAAATTGTCAATTGTCCAAGTACATACCAAAATTGTCCAAGTACAAACAAAAATTGTCCAAGTACATGCTAAAATTGTACCAAGTACATACCAAAATTGTACCAAGTACATACAAAAATTGTTCAAGTACAAACCAAAATTGTCCAAGTACATGCTAAAATTGTCAAATTACAAATCAAAATTGTCCAAGCACATGCCGAAATTGTCAAAGGACATGCCAAATTTGTCCAAGGACATACCAAATTAATTGAAGAACATATATTTATATATTCAGAAAAGTATACAAAATACATTTTAAATAAATGGAGATCATCGTGATGATGTGGAAGATGCCGGTGAACTTTTGATATCTGAGTTGGACTTCCTTGTCTTTCGTTTTGGACTACTAGTAGATGCTCCAGGACTTGAGGAATTACCTCCCCTTAATCTACTCTTCACCTCCTTCACAAGGGCTTTAAGTTCCTCCTGAAAGGAGAGTTTGTTTAACATATAATTAGTACATAACTTTCATAAAGACATAAATACTATAATTTCAATTTCAAAAGATATTAATTATTATATTATTCTTAGAAATCAGTAAAAATTTGCTAAAATAATTATAAATAGAAGTCTAAGACAAGTCTTATCTTTTATAATAAGGAAAAAAAAAGATTTTTTTAAATAGAAATGCTCTTAAAAAATAACAAAAAGTCTAAAATTAACAGTTATACAATAATTTCGTCCCAGACACTGACATTTTTATCACAATAACAATTAATGAATTTAATATTATCAGGTATGCCTTCGAACTTGTTCTTACAAATTATCAAACATTATCAATACGAGTGATCAGTAGATCTATTTACCTCAGAATATCTGTACATAAGTTTACAGTATTTGAGATTCTTGCGTTTCTGGATATGTAGAAGACCTTGCTCCAAGGAGAAAGCACTATTCTCATGTGAGTTCAGCACCTAAAACAGCAAGGTAATATAAATAATCCATTTTAATATAAGTATTTTTTTTGATATGATGTAATATGTATATGATGCGGTATGAAACATGATGTGATATGATACAAAATGTTGTTGTTGTTTTATTTTTTGGAAAGGGGTGGGTCATATGGCGAATTTCCAGCTTTACTGGTGGAGGAAAGCCTCAGGCCCATTTCCATGTATTATGCCATGATCTGATACATATGATATATGTGATATGATACATGATTGGATACATGATGTAATTAATATGATATATGATGAGATGTGATTTGTGATATATGATGGGATATATATATGTGATATGATACATGACTTGATACAGGATGTAATTATGTCTTTAAGATTGTGATATATGATGGGATATGACATGTGATATATGATTGGATATGGGATATGATACATGAAGACATGTTGTTATATGATACATAATGTGATATGATAAATGATGTGATATATGGTTTGATTTGATACATGGTGTTTTATGATACGATATATGACGTGATATGATAAATGATCGGCTATATGATGCAATATAATCAGATATAATATATGATGCGATATGATACACGATTGGATATATGAGGTGAAATTAGATATATTGTGATATATTATAGGACTGCCATCAAAAGAGGGTTATACCGATGGCAGTGCAAATATAGTAACATTCCAATATTTGTTTAAAACAAAATTGCTAAAAGACTTAATATAATTACTTTTTTCTTCTCTTTCAACACATGTGAGCAAAAACAATTACCAAATTACCAAAAGAGTTAATGGCCTTGATCAGCAAACAAAATTATGACTTTGACAACATTTTTGAAGAATCAATTACCTTGCAATGACACAGCACCTTGTAAGTATGACAGACCCACTATTCATCCTTCAAACAGTTGAGCTAAAACTTAGTCCCTAACAATTAAGCATATTACATTTACTTACCATGGGCTTAGTCCCAAACAAATATCCATATAACATTTACTTACCATGGGCTAAGTCCCAAACAAATGACCATATCACAGTAACTTACCATGGCCTAAGTCCCAAACAAATGACCATATAACATTAGCATACCATGGGCTAAGTCCCAAACAAATATCCATATTACATTTACTTACCATGGGCTAAGTCCCAAACAAATGACCAAATCACATTAACATACCATGGACTAAGTCCCAAACAAATAACCATATTACATAAACTTACCATGGAAAGATAACATATTTTATTGGACACGTCACATATGATAATTTCCTCGAGGACGTCTGTTTTCTGTGCCTGTTTCTCCAACTTATCATGAAGCTGCTCCGTCTCCTTCAATCCAGCTTCAAATAACTTCTTACGCTCTGTTATTTCACGCTCTCTGGAAAAAAAAATTATGTGTCCAATATATAATATTAAATACAGAAACAGCATGTGAAAAATCATCTATGTGTTATATGCAATACACTAATTTCTAATAGTATCAATATCAAACTATATCAAAATTTAAAGTGTAATTTAAACTTGATATCCCCTGAAGTTGCTAATGGATAGTTCCAAAAAAATGAAAGCTTTACAAGTTCATTTAACACTTAGCCTGTGGCAGCAACCAAATCTCACTAATCTACCAGTGGGGACCAATTTGTTTGTTTGTTTGTTTTATTTTATGCCTTTTTCCAACAGTATTTCAGTCATATAGGCGGGTAGTTTCCTAACCATCGTTCCTGGAGAGTTAAACCAGTACTAGACTACCTTCCTTCACGCTAAACTACCAAAGCATCTCCCGGGGATCGAACCCACGCCAGAGAGGTAACGGGACCAAGATCAGTTGCTGTATTCACTTTGAATTTTCCCTATATATGATAAAATGGTTTTTGTCCAGATTTTGAGACAGAATGTCCACTTACTATATTTTATCCTAGCAAAGGGTTAAGAAATTCAGGAGGTTATGGTTAATGCTGGTTCAAACATGTTAAATGTATACTTACACAACTTTCTCCAGGTATGGCAATAGAAGGGCTAATGTTGTATCTTGGGTTGTTGAATCTCTGGCCAAGAAAACCAGCATGGCATCCATAGAAAATAACTCTATATCATGGTTCATACCCAAGTTCTGAAATGTTTAAATGAATTTCACGCATTATAATATGTAGCCAATAAATTCCTGTTTGATGATAAGAAAGAAATCAGTATTGGATTTAATCTTATCAATTTAGCCTCGTTTTCATTTTCCCAAGTCCAAAAATTTATATCAAATCTATTTTGTACTCAATCAACACAGAATTAAGATACTTACTAAACAAAGAGTGGCAATACATAATTAACATATCTACTCAACAAATCATTACAATACAGAATTAACATATTTACCAAACAAAGAGTGGCAAAACAGAATTAACATATCTTCTAAACAAAGAGTGGCAATACAGAATTAACACATCTACTTAACAAAGAGTGCCAACACACAATTTCACTATTTCACTCTCAATACAAAAGTGTAAAGCAGCCATACAAAATTTCAAAATCTTCAATCTACATGTATTGTAGTGCTCAAACCTTACCTTTGATGCTTGATAACCTTCAGGGATCCAGTCTTGTGTACCATAATGTACAGACTCGGACATGTTATATCCCAGACTTATATTACTGTAGTTAACGGAGGGAAATACCACTACGAATTCCCTCTCTGTCTGAACACACCGACTCAATGATACACCATTCTCTACAAGTTTAGACTGTGGTATCTACAAATAAAAATATTTATGTTTTCAAACCTACATAAACTGCATGACTAATGCAGTATGACTAATAGTCCCAAATAAAACTATGTCAAAGCTAAAAACATGGCCTTAATATAACTAAAAGTAGGAAATTTATATTTTTTGCAATGAACTAGCCATTTAACCACTTGCTTGAAACCTTTACCAGTACAGAAGTTAATATCAGTACATAAATGTGCTATAAAAAAAGTGCAATGTGTAACAAAAGAATGGAATGACAAATCTTGTACATCTATTAAGCTCCAGTTAAAATATTTTGGCAAGCACTAGAACAAGAAATTTGTTAATTACAGCATTTCTTGGTTCGATATTGGTAAGAAATCATAAAGAAGTAGCATAAAACTTTACCATTGCTGAATTTTTCTGTAAACAGAACCCTTCTTTTCTATATAATTTTGGGGCCACTGTCTTCAGGGCTTCTTTAAGATTATCTGTTTCTTGGCTAGGGACCGCATACCTGAAATAACGCCAAAGATTAAACACTTATTCTACAGTTTTCTCACTTTGTATCCCCCCTTACCATTATTCTGCTAAATTTATATAATGGACTTTCCTGGCTTTTAATTTAGAACATACCATTTGTAGTTAAAGGGATTTCAGGTCTAAAATTGAGCCAACAGTTTCAAGCCTGCGAAGAAGTGCAAATTGGCCATAACCTCCACTAACCCTGGTATAAGTTTGTGGTAATCACCCCTATCTCCCCCAATAGGGTTTAGCATAATATTGTTTAGGGCGAAACACAAGGTCATCATACTAGTTATTAAATTCCCTTGCCTTTGGAATATCTGTGGTAACATGTTGTTGGTGTTGTTACAATTCTAAATGATACATATTATCCTATATTTTGTCAGTAATTAAAATATGAGTAAGACCTTAGGAGGACAAAAATAACATTGATGCTTAGCATCACAAAGCTTTTTCCAGGGCTGTCATTGAATATCGCAAAATCGATATATCATTGATATCTATAATCCGATACAATATCGATACACACTTTCAAATATTGATACAAGCTAAAATTTATTTATTTCTGTTAGTGAATATAACTTTTTTTCCCCAGTTTTCTTGGCTAACTTGAACTTTACACAATGTTTTCAAATGTCAGTGACAAAAATAACAAAACAAAAAACCCCAAACTTTCTGTTAGTTTGTAGTATCTTAATGTCTAAAACAAGCATGCATAACGGCATAATCCCAATTTAGAAGACATATTCAAATTTTTTTTTTTTTTATTGTATCTACTGTTGATATATTGATATCTCGTCAATGTGTCTCTGGATATATCGATAAAAAAATTTCCATCAATGACATCCCTACTTTTTTCTACATCTGACTAACTATTTTACTAAAAGATCTATCTTTTGGTTCATATTAACAATTTTTAGTATTAAGGAACAAGGAAAAAGTTATAAAGAAATCTCTAAGTACCATACAAGTCCAGGTCCTTGGTGGAGATATTGCACTGTAGGAAGATTATGTCCGTTACATGATAAACATTTAGTGGTGTACAACATACCAATGTGAAGAGTTGGCACTGTCACACCTGCAATATATAAGATCCAAAATATAAACATAATAAATAAATGTAACACTAGTAATTTTTTGTTAACATAGACTAAGAAACAGGTATTTCTGTTACTGATTATATATACCTGTATAGAATTATATGCTGCAACAAACCACAGAGCTATATTTAAATAGAGAGGAAGCCATGATGCCATGCACTTGAAATCTGTGTCCAGGATTGATTATCCTGCAAGCTCACATTTGGTCAGATTTTCCTAGACCATGTTTAACATGAGGATAGATTTTCCAAGACTGTTTTTGACACGAGGAAATTTATCATGTTATCTTAAATTTGATACAGTAATTGAAGGTAGTAACAAAAAACAAGATGCAAAAATGTGAAACAAAATGCAATGAAGATTATGAAGATGTAAATTATTCTCAGAAATGGATGAAAATGTAAACATATCTAGTTATGCAATACAAGATGGCAGAAATTGATCAAATCCAAGGGCCAATCAATCTCGCGCTAGGATTTTGGGTCTGGATTATAAAATTTTCTATTTATAGAGCTTTATATTCCTATGTAATCTAAGTCTCTGAACTTACACTGCTAAAGTTACATGAATAAATATGATCTTACAGAAATCTATTCTAAAGGTTGGGTTTTTACATCACATAGACACTTGGTAAAGGTCATATCTCCAACCCGAGTTCTTTCGATTCCTCACTCCTCTTACTGAGCCAAACGGACTTGACTGTAGGCTGGCATCATTACATGGTTTAATTGTTTAAGTATTGAAATAAATATGTATAGCAATGACTCTAATTGAAACATATAGCGTAAGGAAAATATTACCTGCTATTAATCCAAGATGATGAAGTATTGACCCTTTACTTTCTACAAAATTATGCAGATTCCAACCATGTCTGTAAATAAAAAAAAATTAAAATAAAGTACAATTCTGCATAAAAAAGTTTACCCTTATAGCCTTTCAAAAAAATAATATCATATGAAAATACAACAACATTAAAACATTACCCTTGAACTTCATAAACTTCTGTTTTGATTTTGTCCTGACCATCAAGGTTACAAAAAAATTTCTGAGCTCTGAGCTTTTTCTGAAATCTATTTTAATTGGTCTGTATAATTATAATCATAATTATATTTTTTGCTGGTTTCTGGCCAATCAGTAAATGCTTTTATTACCTTGGACCCTGTTTTGTATGTGGAAATATTTAAGAAATGTATATAACGATATATTCAATAATAAAATTGAGCAGTCAACAGCAAAGAACCTGGTCAGAATGGACTATAGTGCAGGCTTACCTGCCTTTATACTGGTAGCATAGACAATTTATTATCACATTTAGCATTCTTCAGTCCCTAGCCAGCTGGTGGCAATAGATTCTACAAATGCAACCAGTGCAGGCGAACACTGTTTTTGTTATGTTTGGTTTTTGGTCAGACCAACAAAAGTTAGATCATATGGCACTGAAACAGAACAGATGATTTTGGCTAGCCTCGGGTGTTACAAACTTACAGCAACACCAAGGGTTAAAACCACCTCATCTGCTGGAGCTAACAAATGCATAGACTCCATTAATTCTAACCCATTAAGTCGCCTATAACGTAGGGATAAATGGTGACTGCAATTCTGATGCCTTAACCCTTAAAGGCAACTCCTCAACCACAAAGGGGGCATACAAAAATCAGATAACACTTCAATGCCATCTGATCAAAAGCACCATTGTTTGTTATTCAGTCAGTGCATAATTTAAAATTTTTTGCTTAACTGGATGAGAAAGATGGACAAGTACATATATGATATTGATAGTGGTATGGGTAAAGGGTTGTCATGAGAAATTGACAGCTGATGTATATCAAGTAATACCAACCTTGCATACATGTTGTCACGTCTAACTGGGAACATACTGCCATGTATACTGGTATCAAGACTAGCTCCCTGTACGGCAACATGATCGTCCGACTTCTCTACAATATCCCAGTAATCATTCTGTAAAACAATATAAGCTGACAATAAATTTGTTTTTTAAGTTGACTGTTTAGTCACAATGGTACTATTAAGAGAATTTGGCAATTTTACAATTTTTACTGACGAAGAAAGACCTTAGAAGGCCTCTTTGTGAATTACACTGCCACAACGTTATAACTCACCCCGTTATAACGCTAACCTCAGTATAACTCTTATAAACCTTGGCTCCCTGCCAAAAAAAACCCCAACAATTTTTACTACATCATATTTCACTACTCAGCCATCTTACTTATTTACCACCTTACTAATTACATATATATATCACCAATGATCCTTAAATTACTTACGGTACTTATATGTCTTTTAAACCAGATTGTGAAAATAACGAACAGAAGATGTAATGACAAATAAAACATTTTGTCCAAAATGTTTACATGCAAGTAATAATGTAACAAGTTAACTATACCTCTATAGTTTCCGGATCATTACACGACTCTGGATCATACAGTTGTTGTGTATTCCTTGCTGCACGGTGAAATGATGATAATGGTTGGGACTTGCCCTGAAATTATCATATAATTATAGATATATTATCATATAATTATAGATATATTATCATAAATTATCATATAATTACAGATATATTATCATAAATTATCATATAATTATAGATATATTATCATAAATTATCATATAATTATAGATATATTATCGATATATTATCATATAATTATAGATATATTATCATATAATTATAGATATATTATCATAAACTATCATATAAATATAGATATATTATCACAAATTATCATATAAATGATATTTGTTTATTTGTTTGATTGGGTTTTACGTAACATCCACACAGTATAGGTCATATGGCGACGTTCCAGCTTTACTGCTCGAGGAAGACCTCAGGTGCCCTTCCGTGCATTATTTCAGGCACAAACAGACACGTGAGTAGAACAACCAACAGTCCGTTAGTTAGCTGGATAGCTTCCTCACATGAAAGAATTCAAAGTCCCTGTTGGGATTCAAACCCACAGCGGTGAGGGGCAAGCGGTTTGAAGTCAACAACCTTAACCACTCGGCCACAGACACTTCTATGAATGATATAATTATTATAATGTTACATCTCACAGTAGCATTACAACATGCAAATCTTCACACCAGTACCTTTACTAGTTACAGATTAACTCCTTGTAGACTATGTAGCTATGAACAGCTAATGTTCTTTAGAAGATTCTCTACTATACAACTTCCACATGGGACCTCTCCATACCAAAGAATAGGTATTGAGAGGTCCCAGGTATAAACTTCTCTCACAAAATTTTAAGTAAGATTGAAATGTCAATAAACTTTACTAGACAAACAAAAAAACAACAGAAAAGCAAAAATGTACATAAATTGTAAAATTATTTCATGATTGGAGTCTACTACATATACTTAAAATTCAAATTAAATACATGAATAATCATACATTAGAAGATTTGTCTAAAATATTAGAGCAACTATTATCAATCTAAAAATTTTGATACAATACCTTGTAAACACATTTATAGCAAGTAGGTATGTGTTTTTCTGCCTCGTCTTTCTTTCTGTCCGTCTGTACAGTCTCCTGTAATTGCTCTGTTTCTTCTTCTGACAGCGTCTCATATGCCAGCAGATATTTACAATAGGCCGCATACAGTTTAGACACACGATCTGCTTGTTTTGGTATTTTCATTGCCTCGGCTATTTTTAGCCACTTTTTCTCTTTACCCACGGTTCCCTTCATTCCCCCATACTTCTGAACCAGTTCATATAATTTGACAAGGTCTATCTCGACACCACCAATCTAAAAATATCAATTCTATATAAAACTCAGTGGAGTACAAAATATTTAAAGGCACATTATGCCTAAGAAACAAATCAATTTTTTCTTCTTTAGAAAAGGCAAACATAAGTTTTGTAATGTTAAAATAATGGTTTTAGAGCATGTTAGATACTTATCACCTGTGCTGAAACTATAACGGAACAAGAAAAATAAAAACATACAAGGGTATAATGGGCCTTTAATAGTATCATTTGAAAGTGTTCTAAATACATATGTAGATCTCTTGAAAAATATTTTCATTATCTGATTCTTAATTCATTTTCAATCATTAGTTATTAAAAATAATTACAAAGAGTGGGTTTGATGCAAAACATCTATAACTTTTATCTCATAATAAAAGGGTTACATCCGTTTCACACCAATGCACCTAAAGGCATTCATTTCTCTCAATGTCACAGGAAGATCAATCAACCGTACCCTGCTGAATTTTTAAAATGGACTTGTCAAGCTTTCAGTTTTGGAACTATCCATTATCAATTTTAGGGATATCATGATGAAAATATGAACAGATGTGCAGACTGCCCTTGCTCTATACTGGAGACAATGACTAATCACTTTTTAGTTCCAGGATGACTTTGTTTTCGCTTTTCTAAGCAAACTGGGCAAAATGGAGTGAGACAGAGCAACTATTTTGCGCAAGTCGCCTACGTGATCCTCGAGCTCCAGCAGTTTAGAATTGAGGATAAATTTATGCATTAATCAGAGGCAACACAACTTCATAAGAAAGCCTTGCTCTTTACTGGAGACAATGACTAATCATTTATGGTTCCAGGAGGTCAAAGGTTATGCATCTGTTGAAGCGTCACACAGAAGTAAAAAACAACTTTATAGGAAAGCATAAATTATGTCCCTGCAGAGATTTAGGTATACAAATCTCTCTGGTAGATTTTTTCTGTGCTAGTTTAAACTGTATACAAAGGGAGATAATTACCTGCGGAACTTGAAACTCGTCATTCGTGGCAGCATCATTATGTAACCTTTTTATATATTCGAGCTGTTCTGTTATAGGGCTCCACCTGGTGGGAAAAATAAGCATCAATATCATCTAAATACAGTCACACTTGAGTTACCTATCCCCCAAAATAAAAACTACCTGTACATAGAGCATAATTTTACAAGACATGCAGGTCAATTACATATCGATTTATCATGAAATTCTTTTTACAGCTATTCACACTGTACCTCTGCTCTTGCATGTCATCAGATACTTGTCACAGTGAAGGCCACTCATACTGGTTAACTGTTTGTCAGTCTGCCCAGGAAACATGCAGTGGTTGCAAAGTGCTCTTGCGAATTAAAAGTTGAAAACTGCCTTGATCGGAAGGGTAAATTACCAACACCACATATATCACACCTGCATTTAGAGGTCATAAGTCATCTACCACACTATTTTATCTTTAAAAACTGTATAATGACCACACCTGACAGTTCTTGTTCGTGCAAATCTCGTAATTTCAATTAGAAAAAATTTGTGAATGGTGAATTTCCAAATAAGTATACTGTTTGGCTTTGTGACTGAAGCCCAATTTTGGTCCCAAAGCTGCATGAAAAAATTACTATACATTGTACCAGTACTATATTATTGTTTTAAACAGCTATACTTACTTGTGCAACATCTTATGTATAAACTGTATTTTTGTTGTAAATCTAATATCATCTAGTTCTCTACTATCCATCTACAATAAAATATCATAACTGTTGTATATTATCACATGAAAAAATAAATGAAATCTGTTAAATATTGTAATATATTAGTTAACACAAGCATCTTCCGAACTACATGCAAGTTCACTATAATTGAAACTGTTCCCTACAAAATGTGCCAGCTGTGATTGAAAAATATAATTCCCCACTTCTATATCTGTAAATAAATAACAAAATCACCTAAAACATTTAAAATACCTAAGTGACACAAAGCTTTTATACAAAGAAAATCAAATTCACTATATTTGAAACTGTTCCCACTACAAATGAGCTAACTGTGATTGAAAAATACAATTATGCCACCCCCACCCCCTCCCCTCCTGTTAATAAATAAAAAAATCACTGAAAACTTTTGACAATTTGACCTTGTATGTCAGTGTCATCTAAGGGTCAAGGCTATACTTCAGTTGGTCAAAATGGTGTTCTTATATAGAGTGGTATGTACAGTCTTAATAATTATGACAATGTTAGCCTAGGTTTATAAAGAAGACGGACAAAAGAGACAAAAACACTCCCTCCGTCTCCACTATCCTGATAAACCGACATAAGAAATGTATAAAGAGAAGAAGGAAATTTGGGTTTTCAATTTGCTCAGAAAATCTGGGCAAAATTACCTTCCAGTTACAGGGAGGGACTATCTTACACATGCCATACTGTTCTGCTTCGGATTGTATACTCTGTATATACAGGATCGGGTCTCGGAACTGTTCTTCCGACGGGTAATATGTAGGACACTGAACAACTGCAGCCGGATCCGAGTCACCGGGGAAACGATCAGTCTTTATACGAATCTCACCAGAATTATCACTACCTGAAAAAGCCGTATAATATTGATTTCTAATTTAAGAATAAAGATAAATATATGATAATCATAAATTATTTATTTAAACATCACTCAATGATACAATTTCAAGAACAAATCCAAATTCTACATGTTCTTTTTTTCCGGTGATACATTTGCATATTTCCTAACCTAAAGATAATACTAATATATATGTGCAGGGAACAACTTCTCTCATTATTTGCAATTACAAACGGCTCAACTGAAATGCCAATTTTTAACCAGTGACCTGCTTAATTTGCATAATGGATTTGCCTCGTTTTCAAATAGAGTCTCGTCAGAATGCAAACAAGTGCAACAGGTCTGGCTCTATACTGGACACAAAGCAGGTTAATGGCTAAATACCACTATAAACAACTTACTGAAACTTGATAAAGAACTTCTCGATCCCGACGACTCTGAGGACAGTTTCTTTTTTTCACTTCCATTCCTCCTTGAAGTTTCTGTCAACCTTTTACTTTTCCCGGACTGAAGAGCTTTGCTAACAAACTTTAATTTCTTGTTTGCTGCCATTTTCGCACATTTTAAAGCCTGTTTTAAATGAGTTGTTGCCCGTGTTATTGGTTTATGAGGCTTAAATGTTTTCTTCACCCGTAGTGACGTTGCTAGTCGCTTTTTGGGATGTGTTTCTAAAGAATTTAGATATTTCAATTTGTTGTTTGAAATACCTCGTGTTTCTTTAGCCCGGCACTTCAGAACCGATTTAAACCGGCTGCCGTTTTCAATTTTGTTTCTTTTTGGTGTGGATGGCATACAGTTTTCATTCAAGTCACCTGTAGATTTACGTTTTCTCATACCATTGCTTTTTGGCGTATGATTCCCCTTGCACTCGCTATCTCTCTTTCTGTTATGCTGTGTTAACTTCAATTTCTTCTGAAAAAAAGAATATTGACATAAATTATAAACTGGTTTAGGTACTTGAAAGTTTTCTGTGCATATGATTGAAAACAAAAAATAAGCTGATTATCATGGTCTTAAAGGAACTGGCGTAGTTTATTTTTGACATGTTGGGACTGGAAATATTTTTTCGAGGTCATTGTTCCACTTGCTGTAGGTTTAAACAAACAACGTGTATGCAAAATTTTTGATCATTTACTCATTTTTCCAGAATAATTATTGTTAGTGTAAAATTAAGTAAGTTACCTTTAACACAATCCTAAAATGAAACGAAAATTATTAAATACAATTTCATTAAATTTTATTCATTAATTTCAAAATTTAATTAAGTAATAATGACTGGTCAATAACTATCTTCAATCACATCAAATGATTCCAGCATAATTTAGGCAGGAATCTTGCACATTTAACTCCCTAGTTTTGCTTATCAAAAAAAAAAATAAAAAAAATATCAATGACAAAATGTTGTTGTTGTTGAAATCATTATAACAAATACTTTTATTATATTCTTATAAATGAAATATTGAGAAATACTGATGAAATAAAATGCGTTTTTTCATGTCCCATATTTTCACTGTAAAAATCTAATTTTCACTGCAGTGAAACATATTTTCTGTATTTTCACTGATGTCTTTCTGGAACACTTTCTCATTAATTCAGCCAATACAAAAAATTATAGGGGAAGTCTTTCAAATTGTAATGTCAGAAAAGAGAAAAAATGTATATAATAAAGAGAATATTCAAATTTTTTCTATAAATACAGGATTTATTTTCATCTTGTGGTATGAAAATCATCATATTTCACTCCTCTTCAAACCACTTGATGAAAATAAATTCTTTATTTATAGAAAAAAACTTGAGAATAATCGTCTATATGTATATTTTAAAAGTGATTAAATCATGGACTTGTCATTCAAATAAACAATATTTTATAACTTTGTAAGTTTTATAACCTTAAATTTCACTGCAAGGTCTCTTTTCTTTTTTAACATGCCATTTAAGGGCCACTTCCCCCTAATATCATGTAGTTTTCCTCTTAAATTCTTTAATTTTAATTTGTAAGTTTTTCCTTGCCCTTTTGTCAAATACCATTTATTTTCCCCCCAAATTCAAGTGAAGGGTGCTAATCCCAGCATGTTTGGAAGAAAAAAGTCCTGCATTGTCTTATGTAAAGAGGTGAAAACCTGAGAATAAATGACAAGATCTCCTTGTTTTACATTCATTTATAACTTACATTTGAGCTACAGATCACAACAGAATAACAATATTTAGTCTTGTGTTAAAACACATTCTCTAGAAATGATAAAAGAATATCAGATTAATAAATGGTCATATCAAACAACAAACAATGCAACAATGAACTGTCAAAATGTGTCATAAAAGCTTGTGTATATCAGTATATGTAAACAACATATAAACGCATGCAAACACATATATCAGCTGCGTCACAACAAAACCAACATAGTGCGTTTGCAACCAGCATGGATCCAGACCAGCCTGCGCATCTACGCAGGCTGGTCTGGATCCATGCTTGTCGCAAATGCACTATGTTAGTTTTGTCGTGATGCGGCTCATATAACAAAACAAATTAATCTAACCATAAGCACATTAATATAAATACAACAAAACAAAACATTTCTGTTAACTTTAACGCCATAACTCCAAAACCAATGTGCCGATGACTCATACATCCGACACAAAACAACGCAAGAACAAAAGTTTTTGTGCAAACTGTGACAAAAAACAAGAATTCAACTTAATATTCAAGAACTTCTTGATATACCTTAGACTTTGTACTCTTAGGCCTAGACTGACTTTTAGCATGGTATGTCAATTCCATAGGTCTTGGTGTCGAACTTGATAATGGTTGCACACTTTTCGAATGTTTAGACTTTATTTGAAACCTGACGTATTTCTTAATCTTGGAATAACTATGGTCAGACAATGATAAATTCAAGTTCTCCGCATTCAAACTCTTCACCAGTGTCATATTTTTCGCTGCGCTCCGTGTCATTACTTTCGTAACTTTCAACACATTCTTACCCTGTTTAGGCAGCAACTCAAATGAAGGTTTAAACAGTTGATGTCCATCTTCTTGTGGTGCTTCAGTCTTTGCAAACGAGTGTGCCCTTTTCACTTCAGGCGAGAGTAAGCCTAATGAAGTTTCTCCGACAGAGAGAATTTCAGTAACGTCTAGAGATTCGTTCAAACTTATGTCAGTCTCTGGTAAAATATCTATAGACTCGTCAAGTTCAGATTCCAAAGGTTTCAGTAGCGATGCACAAGACATGTAATTAGGGTCATAGAGTTCATTTGCGCCAAGTGATAATATTCTTTTAGACCTTTTTAAATTGTCATTCTCTTTGCCAAAAGTAAGCATTTCTGACAGTTCAGTTTCAGTCTCAATATCGGTAATGTTAGATAGTTTTGACTGTTTGAAATCAGCTGCAATTTCTGAAAAGTATCTATTTTCCCCTATTTTACAGGTTTGAGACTCATTATTCAAGCATTTTAGGTATACTGACGGATCACTATCAAAAGATGCTTTATCATCCAAGCCTTTCAGGTATTCTGACTGATCATTATTAACAGATGCTTTATGATCATGGAAACTCAAATGTATCCCAGAATCCTCTAGTAAAATGTTACTTCCTGTTTTATCATCTTGTGACTTAATTCTTGAATCATTGTTTGAGAATTTATCAATATAATTTTCTGTTCCTTCTCCACTTGATTTTGTTTTGTCAATAACTTGAACACATTCATTGGAATTTTCATAGTCTTCCAAAATTGTTTCCTTCCTTGATATATTTTGATCACTTTCAGGCTGTTTAAAAGATACAGCAAAATAAGAGCTGTAGGTAGGACAATATGCTTGACTTTTTTCAGTGCTTGATAGTAAAACAAGAAACTGGATAATTTAGAATTTTCAAAAGTTCAAAAAAGTTCATGATTTTATCACAGGCCATGAAAGAGTTATGGGCCTGGTATACTGACCTCCTATCATGCTCTCAAATAAGTGTGTATATTTCAACCGAAGTAGTTTAAGAGATACAGACTTACACACAAAAACTTTACGAAAGTTTGATGCTGACACCAATGTTGATGCTCGGGTGAGTACAACAGCTATCCCTATTTTTAAAAAGTTGATTTAATCATTCAACTTTAAAATGCTTCAGCTTTAATAGAATGTCATTTTTTAAACAAAAGACCATGTCATGTTTGTGCAGGCTATACAAACTTTGCATTGATTATTTTTTTAAAACACCACTAAGAACCGCTACCATCAGCATGTTAATTGTGAATCTTCATTGAATACATTCATACTGGATTTGAGTTTCAAAGAAAGATGTTCAATCATTTTTTTCATATTTATAACGATAAACATTTATTTATCAGAACAAGGGTAACATTCTGAGAAGCTATAATCACAAATATCATAAAAACAAAGCAAACTTTTATATATTAGACAGGTCAACATGATGCATTTTTTTATGAAGATGTAAGGGATTTTCATTCCCATACTGTATAAGTCTGTTGTTTTTTTCTGCGGTGAAATTATTTCTGCATATTCTGCAGTCAGTTTCAGAACTGCAAATGTTATAGGTCATGTAATGTGACTTAGACATTGATCCTTATTTTTAAGATGAGCAGCAAAATTTAAATCACGTTTTGTCCAAAGAATGTGCCACAGAAATAAAGTCTGCAAAAATAAAAACATGCCAAAATTTGGTAAAACTGCAGAATTTGGAGTCCGCAGAAAAAAAACAACACTTATACGGTACTATGATCATGTTATGTCACAAATGTACATGTATATATATTCAAATTAAAGAGCAAGCAAAAACAAGACTAAGAAGAAACTTTGTCCTCCAGTATTGTATGAGAAAAATTGCGTCAAAAGTTCATAATAATCTAACCACACACATTACACAAGTCAAATCCAATCATTACACAAGACAATATCAAACCACAACAATAATGAGTTACACAAGATTTAAAATACACACCATTTCGACATAGACATTTAGTGTACAACACAGCATACATGAAATAAGATTACCTTTCTTTTCAGCAGTTCACCGTCTGATACGGAAGCTCTTAACTTTTTCACGCCCTCAGGTTTCTTTGGAGACGCTCTTCGAGCAGCTGTCAGTGTTGCCATAGCTTTCCTCTTCAAAGTAAGCCGGTCACCCATATGACCTTTAATTGGACTCTTTGGCTTTAATTTCGATGATGGTCCATATGAATCTGCTAGTCGTTTTCTGCTCCCTGGTGAAAGCTTTGAATCAGAATGTTTTCCTCCGCGACGGAGATTTACAAAACCTCGTGCCGTTTCTGGGGTACTAGCAGAAGCCCTGGCTGCTTTCCTACTTGGTGTTTGAACTCTCTGGATAAAAATAAATCTACTATTCAAAGTACTTAATAGATTGCAATAGGTAAATATCTACCTGTAGATAATGAAATTTAATCTACATGTAATGGAATGTGACTAATGTCTATATCATTATAATTCAATATTATTAAGAAATAGAAAGGTATGGCTGATTAAATGGCATCCAAGGGTTTTAAGCCTGTAAAAAAATATGAAGGCAAAACCACTATTAACAATTTGAGCAAATGAACTGCTTGCCAGTAATTACCAATTTCACTGGAAGTGACTGACCACTAATCCCACATGATTTCTGAATCAGAAATGAGAGAATTTCATAGTTTCCTTTCCAAGTATTACGTAAAAACTAAAACATGTATATATATACATACCATAGGGACATCGGGCACATCCATGCTGTCCTCATTTTGATGACTAGTACTACTACTAGAAGCCGGTGAGCTTTCTCGCGTAAAACCGGACCTGCCATTGGCACCGGACATTTCCCCGTCTGCTTCATCTTTCTTCACGTTCATCAGATCAAGATGAGGTGGAAGCACAGATGTTCCTTCAAAGTAAACAACAATAATAATATGAGCAGCGTCATGACAAAACCAGTATAGTGGGTTTGCAACCAGCATGGATCCAGACCAGCCTGCGCATCCGCGCAGTCTGATCAGGATCCATGCTGTTTGCTATCAGTTCCTCTACTTGTTATAGGGTTTGTAAGTAAACACCATGTCTGCGCAGGCTGGTCTGGCTCCATGCTGGTCGCAAACTTACTATGTTGGTTTAGTCATGACGCGCTCAATTATATTCTAGATCACAAGTTCACGAAACATTCCTTTCAATCATTGCTAGCTATGATTCTTGTGTATGTTTAGGTTGGTTTTTATGCTGATTTTAACACACTTTTGTTCATATCTTGTTCAGCTGTCTACCTAACCAGTAATTACCAATTTCTCTGTAAGTCATCCACTACTTTTCTCGCATGATTTTTGAAATAACCAGACCAACTTTCATAGTGAAATTTTGCATAGCCCAAAATCAAACCAGTGACACAGGATTAATAATCAGGTGCTCTCCCCATCTTGCTAAAAATGTTTTACCTACCCCATCAGTAACAAAGCCAGCCAGTTTGCATATCCTTCAACTGGTGGTCTGACCCCGTCTCACATACTAATTACTATGTAATTTCAGCATCTTGATATCAAAATCCTTCACATAAACAATAGTCAATTACAAATTAACCCTTTCCCCCATGAGCATATTGTGAAAAATGGCCGTTTTCACTGAAAAGCCTCCTGTTACAAGTTCAAACTGCTATGAAACTATGAAAAATGCTTCAATACTAATCAAACTTGGCACAAACGTTGACTGGACCATTGCCTTTGTAACTACATGCTCAGTCTTTAATTTCCTGTTACCATGGCAACGAGGGGACATCTCAAAATTGCCAAAAATCACTATTTTGCCTCGATTTTTTCCATCAAAATTTATTTCAAAGTGCTGCAACTGTTCAAGGGATTGAGATAGAGTCGAAGGCTTTTCAGCGTTGGTTAAACGTTACATTATGATCGACCTGGGGTCATTTTTACCCTCTCACAAGTCCAAAATTTTCTTGGCGATGAGGGGGACTCCGCCCCCCTTCAAACCCCCCTAACAGAAGGGGGCACATCCCCCTTCTGGCAACCCCCTGATGTATCTTTTGGATGGGGGGCGGCGCCGAAAAAGTGCTCAATTTTTTAAGCAACATTTCTCAAACGAAAACTTATGTTTGGGGTCCAAATAGGACATTTTTTCACTATTTGAGGCCTTAAAAAAGGGGGGGGGGTCGAAAGTGCGTTGTTTCGCGTATATATGTGGTAAAGGGTTAACAAAAAATGATGAAAAACTTTGGAATCACCTAAAAACTAGTTTTTCCATGTTAACATGTCGTATTTCACCTAATTTTGGTGAAAAATTGATGTTTTGTAACATTTATAATTTTTTAGTTAACCCTTCCCCCATGAGCATATTGTGAAAAATGGCCGTTTTCACTGAATAGCCTCCTGTTACAAGTTCAAACTGCTATGAAACTATGAAAAATGCTTCAATACTAATCAAACTTGGCACAAATGTTGACTGGACCATTGCCTTTGTAACTACATGCTCAGTCTTTAATTTCCTGTTACCATGGCAACGAGGGGACATCTCAAAATTGCCAAAAATCACTATTTTGCCTCGATTTTTTCCATCAAAATTTATTTCAAAGTGCTGCAACTGTTCAAGGGATTGAGATAGAGTCAAAGGCTTTTCAGCGTTGGTTAAACGTTACATTATGATCGACCTGGGGTCATTTTTACCCTCTCACAAGTCCAAAATTTTCTTGGCGATGAGGGGGACTTCGCCCCCCTTCAAACCCCCCTAACAGAAGGGGGCACATCCCCCTTCTGGCAACCCCCTGATGTATCTTTTGGATGGGGGGCGGCGCCGAAAAAGTGCTCAATTTTTTAAGCAACATTTCTCAAACGAAAACTTATGTTTGGGGTCCAAATAGGACATTTTTTCACTATTTGAGGCCTTAAAAAGGGGGGGGGGTCAAAAGTGCGTTGTTTCGCGTATATATGTGGTAAAGGGTTAACAAAAAATGATGAAAAACTTTGGAATCACCTAAAAACTAGTTTTTCCATGTTAACATGTCGTATTTCACCTAATTTTGGTAAAAAATTGATGTTTTGTAACATTTATAATTTTTTAGTTAACCCTTTCCCCCATGAGCATATTGTGAAAAATGGCCGTTTTCACTGAAAAGCCTCCTGTTACAAGTTCAAACTGCTATGAAACTATGAAAAATGCTTCAATACTAATCAAACTTGGCACAAATGTTGACTGGACCATTGCCTTTGTAACTACATGCTCAGTCTTTAATTTCCTGTTACCATGGCAACGAGGGGACATCTCAAAATTGCCAAAAATCACTATTTTGCCTTGATTTTTTCCATCAAAATTTATTTCAAAGTGCTGCAACTGTTCAAGGGATTGAGATAGAGTCGAAGGCTTTTCAGCGTTGGTTAAACGTTACATTATGATCGACCTGGGGTCATTTTTACCCTCTCACAAGTCCAAAATTTTCTTGGCGATGAGGGGGAATTCGCCCCCCTTCAAACCCCCCTAACAGAAGGGGGCACATCCCCCTTCTGGCAACCCCCTGATGTATCTTTTGGATGGGGGGCGGCGCCGAAAAAGTGCTCAATTTTTTAAGCAACATTTCTCAAACGAAAACTTATGTTTGGGGTCCAAATAGGACATTTTTTCACTATTTGAGGCCTTAAAAAGGGGGGGGGTCAAAAGTGCGTTGTTTCGCGTATATATGTGGTAAAGGGTTAACAAAAAATGATGAAAAACTTTGGAATCACCTAAAAACTAGTTTTTCCATGTTAACATGTCGTATTTCACCTAATTTTGGTGAAAAATTGATGTTTTGTAACATTAATAATTTTTTAGTTAACCCTTTCCCCCATGAGCATATTGTGAAAAATGGCCGTTTTCACTGAAAAGCCTCCTGTTACAAGTTCAAACTGCTATGAAACTATGAAAAATGCTTCATTACTAATCAAACTTGGCACAAATGTTGACTGGACCATTGCCTTTGTAACGAAATGCTCAGTCTTTAATTTCCTGTTACCATGGCAACGAGGGGACATCTCAAAATTGCTAAAAATCACTATTTTGCCTCGATTTTTTCCATCAAAATTTATTTCAAAGTGCTGCAACTGTTCAAGGGATTGAGATAGAGTCAAAAGCTTTTCAGCGTTGGTTAAACGTTACATTATGATCGACCTGGGGTCATTTTTACCCTCTCACAAGTCCAAAATTTTCTTGGCGATGAGGGGGACTCCGCCCCCCCTTCAAACCCCCCTAACAGAAGGGGGCACATCCCCCTTCTGGCAACCCCCTGATGTATCTTTTGGATGGGGGCGGCGCCGAAAAAGTGCTCAATTTTTTAAGCAACATTTCTCAAACGAAAACTTATGTTTGGGGTCCAAATAGGACATTTTCTCACTATTTGAGGTCTTAAAAAGGGGGGGTCGAATGTGCGTTGTTTCGCGTATATATGTGGTAAAGGGTTAACAATAGTCAATTACACATTAACAATAGTCAATTACACATTAACAATAGTCAATTACAAATTCAAGGACGGACATGACCATCCTACAATTTCACCATGGTGAGGGTTTACTAACATAACTCATTACTGTACATACGACTTTTGTAAACAAATAGCTTCACTACACAGAATATGGAATGTCCACAGACCATAATTAACAATCAAAGGTTTCAAAATTTACAAGCATAAGGTTCAAGTTTTGAAATTAAATAAAACACAGATTAATCATCTAAGCCATCAATGCAAGACCTAACAATGTTGAACATTGGCTATGTATATAGGTAAATCTTAACTACAATTGAATTTACTAACCATTTAGAAATATTATCAAAGCACATAATGAACAAGATAATAATTTTGTCACCTTAGTGCAGTAACAGGCCAACTCTTATTAAATTTCAATAGAGGTTAAACTGTTACAGCACTAAGGAAGACGATATACCGATTATAAAAATTCCATCTCACCTCTGAAGCATAAGTAAGTTAAGAAATCCTCCGTTTTGGGTCTCCCGGGAAACAATTTTATCGGGGAAACTTTCAGCTTTGGTTTAGACGGCATTTCTACTGGTGTTGTGGGAGTTGAACCCTGGGCAAATTTTCTCTGCGCATGAATCTTCTTTCTATCAATAAAAATGACATACATGTAAACTTTGCTACACAATTTGGATTTGAAAAGATAATTATAATCTCTTATGCCGTATGCTTTTAAGCATATGTGTAAACTGTAATAAATTCTTCTGCCTTAATATGAATTCAGTTTGGTATTATTATTTACACAAATTAGTTGTAAACCTATGTACATAAAAATATGATAATTTGTTAGTGTGTAAAATTGTCCTTTTACATAATGTCTTTGCATATGTGTAATAAATCTTATTCTAACACAGTAAAATGTTGCATATTTGTAGTTAAACCCTTTACGATAACAAAGAATCAAATTAAATCTATTCATGTATAGGCAAAACATTACTATATAATTATACAAATATTTTACATGGTCCATGTATTATTCCACAACAAAACTTGTATGAATATGAAAAACTTTTCAGCTTTACTCCTGTAAAAAGAAGTCTTCCATGTTTTATTTCAGGCGCAAGGAAGGCACACTTTTCGCCAGTACATTAACAATGTGCCCATAAGCTAACAGAGTAGCTTCTTTAGATAGAAAAAATAACCATCACTGGCCATCTGTCTGACACACAGACCTGAATCACTGTAGTAAATTGTGTCACGACAAAACCAACATAGTGTGTCTGCACCCAGCATGGATCCAGACCAGCCTGCGCATCCGGGCAGTCTGATCAGGATCTATGCTGTTCGCTATCAGTTTCTCTTTTTGTAATAGGGTTGGTAAGAAACAGCATGGATCCTGATCTGACTGCGGGGATGTGCAGGCTGGTCTGGATCCATGCTGGTCGCAAATGCACTATGTTGGTTTTGTCGTGACGTGGCTCAGTTGATTTGCTTCAACCGTTATCATTCAGCAAGAGACCAATGAAAGAAATATGTGAAGTATACATTAACACAATATATGTAGTGAAAATACTTGGCATAACGTTATAATGTATTTTTGTATAACAACCAATGGAGACAAGTACCAAAATGTTTCAGTAAAATAATCAGTGAAAATAAGCACAAGATTAGAATAGTTCTTTCAGTCACAGAAATATAATATATACTGAAATTTATTCTATCACTTAAATGTCTGTAAACATAAACAATGTATCACTTAAACGTCTGTAAACTTAAACAATGTATCACTTAAACGTCTGTAAACTTAAACAATGTAACACTTAAACGTCTGTAAACTTAAACAAAGTATCACTTAAATGTCTGTAAACTTAAACAAAGTATCACTTAAATGTCTGTAAACATAAACAATGTGTCACTAAATGTCTGTAAACATAAACAATGTGTCACTAAATGTCTGTAAACATAAACAATGTATCACTTAAACGTCTGTAAACTTAAACAATGTATCACTTAAACGTCTGTAAACTTAAACAATGTATCACTTAAACGTCTGTAAACTTAAACAATGTATCACTTAAACGTCTGTAAACTTAAACAAAGTATCACTTAAATGTCTGTAAACATAAACAATGTGTCACTAAATGTCTGTAAACATAAACAATGTGTCACTAAATGTCTGTAAACATAAACAATGCATCACTTAAATGTCTGTAAACATAAACAATGTGTCACTAAATGTCTGTAAACATAAACAAACAACATAAAAACATCGGACAGACAGAATACAGCGGCACATAATTATTCTACTGTAAGAAAATGGAGTCAAGTTAGACTGAAACAAAGGGATGGGTATGCATGCAATTTTAACAATACAAAGAAATTAACAAATGAGCCGTGTCACGACAAAACCAACATAATGGTTTTGCCACCAGCATGGATCCAGACCAGCCTGCGCATCCGCGCAGTCTAATCAGGATCCATGCTGTTCGCTTACAAACCCTATTGCAAGTAGAGAAACTGATAGCGAACAGCATGGATCCTGATCAGACTGCGCGGATGCGCAGGCTGGTCTGGATCCATGCTGATCACAAACGCATAACGTTGGTTTTGTCGTGACGCGGCTCAAATATAAAATAAAAAAAATCATATACCTCTTATTGTACATAAAATATGGATTTTTCAATTATTTCTCAGTTAAAACAAAACTTGAAACAGCAACAATGAGAGTTTAAATCCACAAATGTCACACTTAAATTGCATAGACTAACATCTGTTATCAAGACAATGCAATAGAAAACATTACATTTGAACCACATACTGAAACCATGACTTCAAAGTGTATAATTTCCTATACTTTGTTTCTTTCCTTGAAATAAAAAAAAAATAAACAACAGAAGGTATATAACAAGTAGGGCTAATATAACAAAAGTTTAATCTGTGGTGATACATCATGTAGATTTGGTTTGTATAAAAACCATGCGAGTCTATCAATAATTGTATAGTTAACAATATGTAAGTATTACCCAGACCAAATTTGATTGTCTGGTTTGCTGCCAATTTCATATCTTTGCAATCGGTCAGCTTTCCTGGATAACTAACCAGAAATTACCAATGTCTCAACATGTGACTGTTTTTATTTCTACATGATGTCTAAGACAAATGACTAATTAATTTAAATACTCAAGGTTTAAATCAATTGTCACAGAGAATCACAGAGAATTTTTGGCTTGACTAAGGATTGAACCAGTGACCCCAGGATTACAAATCAAATGCTATTCTTGAGCTTATTGGGTTGACCCTTATTGCTAAATACTGGTTTGTTACAGGGATGGATTCGAGAGCTTTTCAATAAGCTTATAGTTTCCAACACAATCTAAACTAAAATAAATTTGTATTATCTAAAACTAAGTGGGTGGATTCACTCAAACTAAGTGGTTGGACCCTCTCAAACTAAGTGGGTGGAACCTCTCAGGCCATATAAAAACCCTCAGATTTTACTTCTGTTAAAAATGCCCTATCAAACACATGCATAAAATATTTTGTCAGTGGATATCTAAAACTGGCATGCAGAAGCGGAACAATTAAAATAAAACAACAACAAGAAATGTACTGTACAAGTTAATGTGACAAAAATACCGGCAAGACTTTTTGACAACAAACCACTTACTGATGAGTCACACTCGGATAACGAGTTGCTCTAACCCCCGATGTGGAGGGCTCGGGACAAATTGGTGTGAATGAATTCACAGCAAATTTTCTTTGGGCATGGTATTTTGTCCTGAAAGTGGTATTTTTACATTTAGTTTCAACTAACAAGATGAATATTGCTAGGAAACCGATACAAAATCTTTAAAAAAAAATTAATTTTATATATCAGACCACATCATTATTTGCAAACTATTGCATTTTTTTTTCAGAGCAAACACAACTGAATACATACATTATTTTAAGGCAATTACTTTGTCTGGGATTTAGACTTTACGTTAGCGGCATAGCCAGCTGAAGGCAATCATACTAGCCTCTGCTAACTGCTTAATATCAGACATGACAATAAGAAATTTGAAGTCTGGTTAGGTTCCTCACTTCCTAGCAGATTGATATTCAAACTTTGTCATTTTTTTCTTCTGAATTTCGTTAGAATTAATAAAATTTAAATATCAAGCAGAGATATTTTTTTTAATGATGACATTTTCCCAGCATGCAAATGATTAAGTTTATATATAATTTAAGACATTTTGGCATGTTATAATTATATGCTAGAATATAACTTAAATTTTACCTGTTGAGCACACCTTGGTCCTGAACAGTATTTACCTGTTTGAAATTGTTTGCTCTGATTTTTTGTGTTGTTAATGTTTTATTGCTGAAGTATCAAAATCTGTAACTGATTAAATAGCTAAGCACTGGAGGACAAAGTGCTTTATTCTCATGTTCTTTAACACACCAGCTTACCAAAAAAAGACCCATGAATAACAGATCAAAATTTTACATCTAATTTAGAAATTTACTCTTTACACAACTAGAACTCCGCGAGTCGGATGTGTCGCCTTGTGAACAATGTAGTTTAGGGGAAATGGCCAGGACAAAAATGAAATATGAAAAATAACAAAGGGCAATAACTAAAAAAATAATAAGTGCAGAGCAGCAGTTTCTGTACACTGCACTTCTTATCAATAAGATCTATCATCCTATGATGTTTCAAGTCCATAGCTTTCATACTTGAGGAAAAATGACCAGGACAAAAATAAAGTAAGAAAAGCAACAAAGGGCAATAACTCAAAAATAAGAAATGCTGAGTATCAGTTCTTATGCACTGCACTTCTTTTTAATGAGATCTATCATCCTATGAAGTTTCAAGTCCATAATTTTTATACTTTCAGAGAAATGGCCTGGACAAAAATTAAGTATGAAAATAAACAAAGGGCAATAACTCAAAAAATAAGAAATGCAGAGTACCAGTTCTTGTGCACTGCACTTCTTCTTAATGAGACCTATCATCCTATGAAGTTTCAAGTCCATGGCTTTTATACATTAGGAGAAATGGCCCGGACAAAAATAAAGTATGAAAATTAACAAAGGGCAATAACTCAAAAATTAGGAATTGCAGAGTACTGGTTCTTGTGCACTGCATTTCTTCTTAATGAGATCTATCATCCTATGAAGTTTCAAGTCCATAGCTTTTTTAGTTGAAGAGAAATGGCCCGGACAAAATTAAAGTATGAAAATTAACAAAGGGCAATAACTCAAAAAATAAGAGCTGCAGAGTACCGGTCCTTGTGCACTGCACTTCGGGTTATTGAAAGAAGCATGCATACCAAGTTTGAAGTCAATCAGACTTATAGTGACTGAGTAATGCTCCGGACAAGCTTTAGCGGACACCGACGCCGACAACGACAACAACGCAGACGCCGCCGACAAAAGTAACCCCTATATGTCACCTTTTCAAGGCGACACAATAAAACCAGGTTGCCTGATTCACAATCCAATGCTCTACCTATTGAGCTAACCAACGCTCTACCTACCGAGGCAACCATCAGCTCCAATTAAGATTCTTCATGAATAGACAGTTTTATAAACAAAAGAATACAGATCATACATACTTCTTAGCTTCAAGCCTAGTTGTGTCCCTTTTTTCTGTAAAACTCTGAGTGGAGTCCATACTACAGCTGTTCTCGTCTATGAACTTTGACTCAGTCAAAGAGCTCAAACTTGCTCTACAAAAGAATGAAGATATTTAAATCTGTCATGTGACGCTTGAAGTAGGGACCTAATTTCCTGAGTGCTTCAAGTTATCATCATCATATCCAACACACATGCACAATAATTTTTAAATCCATCCAGGAATGTCAGAATTGTTGACCAGACACAACCATCAATGCTCTTTTTAATGCTAAAAATCTTATCATGACTTTAGAATACAGGTGTAACCTTGACCTTTGAGGTAGGGACCTGATTCATGAGTGCTACAAATTGTCAGTATGTCCAACACATATATGCATAATAATTTTTAAATCCATCCGTCAATGACAAAATTGTTGATTGTATACAAACATTAGAGATTTTCTTTTTTTAATTCCTTTGAAGCCAGAGTGTGACCTTGACCTCTGAGCTGCAGACCTAAATATTGCATATTGACGACACTTTGTCCCATTGTGCTAGCTTAGTTATTAGTCCAGAAATTAATACAGTTTCAGAATGACTAGCGTATTTGAAGAAGGAAGAATATAAACTTCTTTTATCAAAAAAAAAAAAAAGAGAAAAAAATAAGAAAAAATGATATTGAGCACTGGCTATCATCAAGAACTGTTTACAGGCAATAAGTTCACGCTTTAAACTCACACATCATCACCTTAGTGCAATAACATAACAAGTCCTTCTAAATTAAATAGCAGTTAATCAGTTATTGCACTAAGGTGACGAACTGTCATGTGCTTTTCACATGAACACCCCACCTGCTCTGACTAGTAGACATCCCTTCCCTAGAGTCAGTTATACTTTCATCATCATCTGGTTTATCATCTCTCGACTGTCTTCTAGCTTCCTGTAATGATGCATACAAGGCCTTCTTCAGTTCCCGTTCTTCCTTCCATGACAATCCCGACACTGAGTCATCCTGAAATATATTTCAAAAATAACATCCTCAAAATGAAGTTCCATGACTTAAATTGTCATCACAATTTATTAAGATACTGAATTTATTTTCATTATTTACTATTACACTGAATTTAATTACTATAACTTGCTAGCAACTGCGAGCACGATGTGTGCTTAGTAAAATTTAAGTTATATTTATATTGTAAACAGTTTAAAGTTCTAAAATTTATGTTCCAAGTTTTCAGGTGAAATTATATTGAGATACTCACTATGATACTGAATTCATTTTTATTATTTATTATGTGTGACTGAGTTTATCACCATAATTTACTAGCATTGAAGCAAGATGTAATCTAAGTTATAAATATATATTGTAAACAGTTTAACTGAAATATATACCAAGTTCTTAGGTGAAATATTTCTTTTAGGTCTCCTATTCTTCAAATCTGAAGCTGACCGTCGTGTCATCATTGGTTTTGGTGTCCTGCTCACCATTCTGGTATCCCTCACCTGGTTCCCTGTTCAGATAAAGATAGTGCATTAAAACTCTGTTAAATCAAGTTAATTAACCTTTTCAAAAATCTAGCTAAACACTGTTTAACGTTATGTTACAGTTACAGATTTAGCTCTGGCTTATTTGATCTAATTATCATGTACAGCATCATTAAGTCAACCATCAAAAACTTTCTGTTGATATTTTTTAGAATTTAATTTTCAAGGTTCTTGAATAATCTACATCTTCATTAAACTGCTTCAAAATCGTTAACTATTACACTAAGACAGGGCTCTCGTTTGGTAAAATTTGGGGCCGATATTCCCCCACCAAAAAAGTGTGTTTTTATCCCCCTAAAACCGAAAAAAATCCCCCTTGAAATTAATATTTAACGAGCATAGAAAATGCCGAACGGCGAATGTTTATTCTGCAAAAGGCAACCAGAAATTAGTACCAGGGATTTTTTCCAGGATTTTGGGAACATGACCCATACCCATGGAATTGGGAATTTCAGCGGTGTTTTGTTAAAAATTGGGAAAAATGCATGACTGAAATTTTGCAGTGATTAAATGAATGCAAACAATCACTGTCTAGGATGGCATCTTCAAACATTTAAGCACTATTACAGTGAAGAAGCCCTTATTTTCAAAGATTTTAGAATTTTTATTCAATATTTTTATTTTGTAACTTTCAATTGGGAATTTTTTCCTGTGGATTGGGAAAATAATATACTATTTTCAATTGGGAATATGACCCAATAACGGCTATAAAATAAGCCAAAAAAATCCCTGAGTACGTATTCCTCGGACGGCAATAGGAAATTAGTACGTATATATGATAAAACGTTCTGGACATTTTTAAGCATTCCAACATGTTGCACAATTTCAAATCTTACCGAAAAAAAATTCCCCCTTGAATGAAATATATTTGAAAATCATGCAAAATTCCCCCCCCCCCTGTAAGGACTCTGGCCCCAGTTTCAATATGCTAACAAGAGCCCTGTAAGAAGGTGCCTTGTCTGGGATAAGCTGTTAAAAAAAAGGTTCCTAAGAAAAATGTGTTATCTCGAAATTTATTACAAAATGTTAACTATACTGTAAGTTCATTTCAGGGCATATCTTTAAAAGTTAACAATAATTTACAGTATCAACCTTATTATATCTAATTTATTTTAGTATAATTTGGTTTTTCTACCTTTGTCCGAATAGATCATCCAATTACTATGCCACTTCCTAATTAAGAGTTGAAGAACTCGGGTTCCAATATTGCAAAGGGAACGATGTTAAGCATGACCACTTACCTCCGCTGACTTAACGACTATGTAAATGTTTCTTCTTAACGATGCATGAGTATCAAAAACACGGGAAAAGTGAGGTTTAATTGGATTTTCATTGATGCTTTGTTTCGCGAAATGAAAACCGCTACCATACACTTGGCTAGACTAAAGTCTGATATCCGGTCTCTATCTGTACTATCTATCAAGCAAAATTATGGCCTTGAAATTTTGCATAAAATGTTATAACAAGAGAGATTAAACAAAAATGAAATTGAATTTGGAATGAAGAATATCCCTTTACAGTCAAGATAGCTAAAATGGTATACTTAGTCTATGTTAGACCAGTCATAGATGTAGATTTCATTTATGTTTATAATCTGTTATAATATCTTAATGTACACACATAAATTACATGTACATGTACCTAATGTAGAAATACATTAGCGTGGACATCATTATTACAGAAAATCGTATTAAGAGTTAATTGTCTATTAATGCTGAAAGTCTTTACATATTACATGTATAGCATTTTATGACAAATATTGATATCGATGTCACTGCCTTAATTAATGTTTGTTATTTGAATATGTCCACGTTTTGATTTTTTTATTGTCATATATACCAAGACAGTTACAACACTATTTGTTATAATTACAAGTAACATGTCTTGTATAATTATAGACGGTTGCATGTTTGTTTCAAATAATGAATATCACTTCTTTCTATAATTAATGTGTGTTCTAACGCATTTTTATGAATAGTAATATTTTCTAAAAACTGTGTTTTCAAAGTTAGCTTAAGATTTAAGAGTTGTCTATTTAATGATGATTGCGCCAATTAAATTGCAATTTGTTTTTTCATTTTCAAGATATGTATGGTGAGAATACGAATGGTGACTTATCTATTTTATATTAGTGTTAACCTGCGTAGAATGTATTTTATGTGTTTATAAACCGAATAAGCAGTTAAGATCAAAGCAAATAATCATCAAATATGTGAGTAAGTTAACATGTACAAGTATGTCGTATATCTGCAGCTTCTTGTTGTAATCGGTCATGCATGAAATCTTATACATATGTATCGATTAACAGTGTGATTTACTAATTTGCATTAGTATATGATTGTCCGATAGGTATTTTAGTTTTAATTAGTCATGAAATGATCTTCCATTATAACATCTAACGTGTTAGTATGTTGACATCATATTGAAGACCAAATGCAAATTAAATCATATTTTATGCCACATATTTTACTACAGATATTCATCTGTACTATAACGTAACATTTTTCTTTTTCTTTTTTTTCAACATTCCATTAATATTGTTCCTCAATCACATGCTCTATTTTTTCATTTAAATATTATGTTTCTTTTTTCTTCCGTATTTGTTTTTTGTTTGTTTAGTTATACTTTTTCAAATTGCTCTGTTTTTAACTTCGTTGCTTCTTTTTTATCTTGTCTTGTCTATTGTAGACTGTTATATTATATGTTTGTCCTGTTACTTGAAGTCCATGGTCGCATGTTCAATACCTATGCTTAGTTTTATTACCTAATGGGTAACGATTTAGCTTCATACAGAGCGACCATTGGGCATTTTAACTGTAGAATTCAGAAGCTTCATATAAGAATGAATTATTTCTACACTGTATTTATAAAATTCCTGATATACATTTATGCAATAAAATTTGTCCTAAAATGTTTTACAAAATGAGCATGGGGCTCCGTAACAAAATTTACCTGCGTATACCGGATTTTTTTTTCACCTGGCTTCGGTAAAGTAATTCATTTTGAAAATTAATGTGTATATATGAATGCAACATACCAGAATATATATATCAATGCATCAAAGTACAGTACATAGATCTGTAACATGGAAATCTATACAAAAGAATGAACTATAACTTAGTAATTAAGTCTTGTCGGATGATTCAATTAATTGACTTTGTATAGAGTTCAAACCAGGTCATGTCTTTTATTTGATAGCATCACTGAAGACTCAATATTAATGTTTCAATATTCTATACTTCAGTCCATTTAACGGTGGTTTAAAAAATGATATCTTTATTGCTTATCTATCAGCTAGCCTAGCAATACACAGATGGAACATCACATTCTCCTTGTCTCATTAATAACTTTGGAAGAAAAAAGCATTGGTCTGAGTCACTTGTTTGGGACATTGACCATGGTCAGAAGATGACCTCTATTGTTTTTTAAGTTAGTAGGTTAAAATCAATATGGCCTTGATGACAAAGATGGATTATATTATCAAGCAATGTATACTTCAGTGCTTTCAGTGCTTTGATTTAATGTATTATTTAATTTTTGTTGATGTTTTGATTTCGCTGATGCACATGTTGTGCGTGCGTGCGTGCGTCTGTGTTGTTTTATTTACATTTGTTCTATGCTTTGACTGTACGATGATATTTAATAATAGCGAAAACATTTTTTTCGTATATTTCAGTGCGTATGCAAACACCAAGTCTTATATATATATAAATTTTAGAACATAATTTCTATGCCGGATTTGTACAATAATCATTACATGTAAATAGAAACCATACATTTCTGTGATTTAGTAGGCAGAGCAACTATGTTCCAAATCAGCATACGCAATTATTATGCAATGAAAAATTTTCAATTTTTTTTCATAAAATAATTTTTGTACATTTTTGTAATTCTTATTTTTTTTATTTAAACATCTTTTCAAATTTTTAAAAACACATTTGGTTGACACAGGCTAAAGGTGTTATAGTTTTTTTTTAAAATTAAATATTAAGCAGTTTAAAAAATGCATAATTATGTTAGTAAGTAATTTGTTGTACAAATTCAATCGGGCATACTTCCTCATAAATTCTCAAACTGTTGCTAGCAAGTTATTTCAAACTTACATTTTAATTCAATTTCAAATCCGCTAATTTATCCTTTTCCTTAATTAACATCTCTTTTGGCTAAACTTATATTACAGTAATGAAAGCAAAATATATAGCTTTCATTGTTTTTTAAGTTTAAAAACATTAAGAAATAATGTAGGAATAACATGTATTTAGTACCAGTGTCTTTTAAAAAAGGTCACCTAACAGGGGCAACAACTCCTAAATTACTTAATCTGTAAAAACCGCGCAACAAAGCACAAAACTATGTTACAAAAACGGAATGTAAACTAGAGCAACCCGCATGTTTTTGGCATGACTTAAATTGTTACAAGGCCAGCTGGTCTCTTGCATTAATTTTGCCTGTAAAGTACGAGTATAAAAAACAATAACGGATACTTAAATTTAAAGTACATGCACATATACTCATTATATACCTTCCTACGTACTTTTTGTTTAGTTTGCATATTTCGGAAATAATTGTGTTGTTTATCACAAATCCTTTTTAAATGACCGACATTATCATTTTAAACTTTAAATTCCGACCAGGAGTCATATTATGTTTGAAATTATATATTCATGTCTTGATATAAGATGTATGAAACCCCCCCCCCACCACCCCATCCCACATCGCAAATCTCCCAACTTAAATATTGTCAAACTTAACGTATTTTAATCATGTAAATCAAGGAGGTCAACGCTCTCAGTCTCTCTACTATAAAGTTATTAAGTTAAAGTAGTTCACTATACATGTACACGATACCACCTTTGTCATGGCTGAAAGATATCCTTAAAAATATTCGGTATTCAACGCCTTATATACGTCTCTGTTGTTTTGTTTTAATTTTTAACGCGAGTGAGTAAAATTCGTTGATTTAACACTTCAAGGTATGGTACTATTTTTTTTAAACGGACATGTCTGTTAGTCTTTTTTAAGTTTAAGACTATTAATTTTGAAGTAAATTCAATTGAGCCGCGTCACGACAAAACCAACATAGTGCGTTTGCGACCAGCATGGATCCGGACCAGCCTGCGCATCATTGCAGTCTGATCAGGATCCATGCTAATCGCTATCAGTTTCTCTACTTGTAATAGAGTTAGTAAGCGAAAAGCATGGATCCTGATCAGACTGCGCGGATGCGCAGGCTGGTCTGGATCCATGCTGGTCGCAAACCCACTATGGTGGTTTTGTCGTGACGCGGCTCAATTAAGACGATGCCCTGTTAGACAACGAACATCAATATCATTTAATACATTATATATAAACTTTATGACAACAAAATATTTCCATTATTATATATACATGTATATTATACATGCAGTTTTTTTTAACTCAAATAAGATTAATTTTAAACTGTTACCTTTAACCTAGTTTAAACAAGTGAGGTCATGTTTAAAACGAGATTGCTTGCAAATATGTCAAATCAATTATTTATTGTCTTTACTTTACGACATTGGCTGTAGGAACTTGAACAAATTTAGAAATATATGTGCCTATAAAATACAATGTATGCTATGTTAAGAATCAGAATATGTGCTTTTAAGAATCTAACATTGGCCGGATTATTTAGCTCGAATATACCTGTATAAGGTTGTAAATTTGGTCAAGTTATCTCAAGTCCTATACTATAGGACGTACCTAACATAAGAATATTTCAAAAGCCATGGAATGCGTTCCATAGAAAGTCCTTAGTCTGAAATCAGTCTTAAGCCCAAATAAAACACACAATTTTGCGTTTCAAAAAAAATATTTTAAGTTACTATTCCTGTGTTATAACTCGTTCAATTTCTGAACTGCAATGCAGATGAACATTAATACATAGCAAATTAAGTTGCGTGCCGTTGTGTTTCGCTTACTTTTCACAGCATATATTCATACATAATACAAAAACTCATATTTTTATTCTGCACGTTTGTCTCATGTATCATCTCACATGGTGATATTTTCCAGAGCTGATGCAAACACAAGTAAATCCAGAGTGATATCCGAAAAAGATTGACTGCTTATGTTGTTTTCAGAGCTCCACCAATTGAGTTTATTATACTACTTGTCGATTGCTACACAGAATGCCGTTGAAGATTTACAAAGATGGCGGAGGGAATCCGATTCAGTTTATGGAGATTAACGGTGTCAGGTACCCGTATGTTGAGGGTGTAGACCAGGATCACGTCGTCCAAGTGGCGAAAGAGGCTAAAGCACGAGATGACGACATCCTTCTTGTTACATATGCTAAGTCAGGTACATGTAGCCAAAATTGTTCATGTTAAAATATCATGAATATACAAAAATGCAGAGGCGGCGTGTCTCAGAGGCAAGCTGTTGTTTCCTTGAACAAGAAACTTTACTGGTACAGGTTGGTTCCAGGAACGGATTCGAGGGTATGGCTTCCAACACAATCGAACTAACACTTAGGTTGCCTTGCTTTAAAAAATAAAGTGAAACTATACAGTGTAAAGTAATTCATTGAATTCCATCTTCTACACAATTTGTTAAGAATCTTGAAAAGAGAATAATCAAACGGTTATATACCCTACTTTACGTACATATTTTCTTGTATTACTTTATTTAGATAAGCATAAAGTAATATTCATTTAAACAGGTACACATTGGACCTGGGAGATAATATCTATGCTTTGCAACGGAAACGCTGAAACTGTTCCAACAATAAAGCAAATGAATATGATCGAAGCCATTTCTTCAGACGATCTGACGTCACTTGCGTCTCCAAGAGTTCTTAACACCCACTTCCGGTTCAATGATTTACCGAAAGACATGGTCCGAAAAAAGACTAAGATCGTTCTTGTTCATCGCAATCCAAAGGATGTGGCAGTCTCACATTTTCATCATCATCTTAAATTAAAATCTTTGTATAATTACAATGGAACGTGGAGTGAATGGTTACCTTTATTTCTTGAAGGGAATGGTAGGCAATTTGCTGCTTCTTTATGTTTTAAACTTTTGGCTTTCTAAAGATGAATATATTTGGTGCAATTAACGATTTATTTCATTTTTGTGATAAAGCAGAAAGTTGTTTATTTTCTTGAACCGTATTTAGCACGAAAATGAATACTCAAAAGCACCCTATTATTAAACAGCTGAAAGTGTCTCAATTAATCCTGCTAGTCAAGAAATAAATCTTCAAATAAATAATAAAAATGTTCGCCTTAATAGAGACGCTTCCAAATATTTTAGAATATACTCTTTTACTGAGTACATGTTAATGTTTAAGGCAATTATTATAGAAGTGGTCGGAGAATCCCACCCATATACATATTTTTTACATACGATTAACATGAGTTGACAAATGTGTTCTAAATATAGTTTTTAACATTTCAGTCGATGTCAATTCATGGTTTGACTACGTCAGAGATTGGGAGAAAGCGATGGAAGAAAATCCTGACTACCCTATACACCTAATGTATTATGAAGACATGAAAGAGGTTAGCAACCAGTTTTACCTTCACTAGATATTTAATTGAAGTATAACATTATAGATATTTAATTGAAGTATAACAAGATACTTTTGTAAAAAAAGGACCATGTTGCTAACTATGTACTGTATACTATTTATGTTCTCGATAGATCTAGAAATGTCTAACGCAAGCAGTGCTAGTATCTCTTTATTAATTATAACCATTATAACTGGCGTTATAGCAACCCATCTGTATTATTTCCAGGACCTTTGCCGAGAGGTGAAAAAACTTGCTGGTTTTTTAGAATTACCAGTATCAGCAGAACTGTGTCAAAATATTGCCAAAAAGTGTCAGTTTGAAAATATGCAAAAGGATAAGAAAGGATTGGAGAATGAGTTCTGGACGAATGTCTGGGTTAACAAGCAGCCAAACTTTTACCGAAAAGGTACAATTTCATCTATTGGAGTAAAAACCGATAATGTAGTTTCATATTTTCAATTTTTTATGTCATTGTAACAGCAACAATAGTTGATAACATCAACAATAGTTGATAACAAAAATCAACAAGGCTAGGTGACGCAGACAGAACACAACCCGCCACAACCAAGCCACGCTAGCAGGGTACTCAGAAGGCATCGAATCAAAAGTTAGAGCAAGTCTAAATGTGTTTCCGTATGAACACATCTGCGGTTGTTTCTAAATACAAAATTACACCATTTCATGTTCTGCTTAATATGGTGCAAGGGGCGTGCACGCTAACTTGCACTTACCAGTACCGTCCATGAACAGGCTCATTCAAACGAGCCTGCAATGTTCTTTCGGGATTCTGTTTTTTCCCCCGTTTTGATTTTTTAAAAAGCTATAGACGCAACCGTATTTATAAAAGCTTCTTATTTGTTTTTTACATCATTTTCTGATTATTACACCTGTGATCGATTAAAGAATATAAATAAGCTAATAATTAATGAATCAATACTAGAAGTACATTCTGATGTAGCAGCTTCAATGTAAATTCAACAAAGGGATGGGATCCTAATCGGAACATTTTCGGCTATTATTGACCGACGGAAAGGACCGAAAAGTTGCGATCTATTGGATACTAAACAGTCCTAGAAATCAAATATGGCACCCAAGATAGCTGCCAAAAAATATTTAAATCGCAGTTTTTTGAGAGGACGACCAAAAAAGAACTCTGTATGCTGAAATAGTTTCACACATTTCTTTAATGAATATCTGAACTGAACATTGGTCAATATGTCACGAGTTGACGTGCGGGCATTCTTTAATCCAGTTCATGGATATCAACACTTTTTAAATTAATCTTTTTCTTTTACAGGTGTTGTCGGTGACTGGAAGAACTATTTTACAGTAGCACAGAATGAACAGTTTGACGAACTATACAAACAAAAAATGGCCGGAAGCAAACTAAATTTCAGATTTGAATTGTGACTTCACCACATGTTATAACCAGTTTGATACATGTAATGGACAAAAAATAGCATTTCACAAGAACCAGCATTATCTAATTAATGCTAATTTAGTCGCTTATTAGTATTTAGATTACATAAGATATTTACATGTATTTTAGCGCGGTTGTTAATCATCTTCTTGAAACTTAGATTAGCTTTGTTTAGTAACCAGTGCCTGTGCAATACGTGAAAACATGCCTAATAATTATATCCATGAATAAATACTGAATTGTTGTTGATTAATGTAATTCACTTGCAAAAATTATTGCCCCATACTTCTCTTCAGTGTTGTTAGATACAAGTTCTCTTTTATTGACATGTGCGACGTCAACGTCAATTACACGTAGCTATTACGAGTACTTCTCCTGACCGATACAAAGTATGAAAGGAATATAGTAAGTAAGTAAGTAAGTAAGTAAGTAAGTAACGACTTTATTTAATGAGGCAACACAGTTGGGCAAGCCCAGTCTTCCCTGTGAGCCTCAACAATGTACAAAACAATTTATAAAATAAAATACATCAATAAGAGAATAAATAACTACACAAGTTGATTTCATTATTATACATTCAACATTGAAATATGTGAGATCAACCTTAAACAACAAAAGACATGTGTTGATAATATACTGGTATACAAATGTTATCAAAAGTGAAAATTAACATATATATAAAACAAACATATTCAAACAAATATTCAAACAAATATTTACATTGCATTTAAGCAGAGGTTTCCACCAGAGAACCACCATGTTAAGTATGTTTTTTTGAATTCTGCAAGACTGTTTGATTGCCTGATGTGTAATGGTAATTTGTTCCAGATTTTAGGCCCAGAGTATGCAAGAGCTTTTCTGCAAAACTCTAGTCTAGGTTTGGGTATATGTAGTGTCTGTTGAGTGTGTGATCTAAGAGTTGTGTGATTTGTATGCGAAAATAAATCAGACATATAATGTGGCAATAGATTGTTAAGGGATTTGTAAACAAGAATTGACTTTTTATAATGTATGCGGTCATGTATTTTTAACCAATTCAATTCATGAAACAATATATCTGAGGGTGTATCAATGTCTGCATCAAGTATAATACGTGCGGCTCTCTTTTGAAATTTGTATAAGCTGTTCAGTAATTCATCATTACAATTTCCCCAAATAGTGCAGCAGTAATCTAGGTGTGGCAATATGTATGCATTATAAAAAACTATTCTCATTTGTTTGTTTAGGTATTGTTTAATACGAAGTAGAAGATACAGTAATGAATTGCATTTTTTAATCAGATGTTCAATTTGACAGTTCCATGATAATCTATGATCCACGTGAATTCCTAGTAATTTTTCAGAGTTAGTAAATTCAATGTCATTTTCCTGCATTTTCAAAATGTAGTCATTGCTTGATTTAATTGTGTTGTAAATAATATTTGATGGGGAGATTATCATCGCTTTTGTTTTTTGAGGATTTGGTAGCATAGAGTTTCTTGCACACCAGTCGTAGATGATGTCAATGCTATTTTGTAGTGATCTGTAGACTGAGTCAATAGATGATCCAAATGAGGTGATAGTTGTATCGTCTGCAAACATGTCAGTAGATGTATTTGGGAGGTTTAAAGGTAAATCATTTATATATAGAATGAATAGAGCGGGGCCAAGAATGGATCCCTGAGGGACTCCAGATGATATTTCTTTGGCACTTGATAATTTGCCAGAGATTGAGACCTGTTGAGTTCTGTTTGAGAGATAAGATTTAAACCAGTTAAGTGTTTCCCCTGCAAACTGATATTGTGTCATCTTTTGCATTAAGAGTGAATGATTAAGTAAATCAAAGGCCTTAGTTAGATCAAGAAAGACAGTGCCTACAAGTTTGTTGTCATTGATTGCAGAAATCCAAGTGTCAATGATAGATGTTAATGCTGTTTCACAGGAATGATTTGAACGGAAACCTGATTGAGTCTTATGCAATAACGAATTTGTTTCAAGAAAAGTTTTAAGGTGATTACTGACATGTTTTTCTAGTACTTTGGAAAGAACAGGGAGAATGGAAATAGGACGATAGTTATTTGCATCAGATTTGTTCCCTTTTTTGAAAATTGGTATAATCTTTGCTTTTTTGAAAAGTGTAGGGAAAGCAGATGTTGAAATGCTTTGGTTAAATATTTGTGTGAGTGGTTTTGCTATAACTTCAGCTGAGATTTTTAAAAATTTTGCTCCTATGTCATCCAAACCTGTTGCTTTATTTGAGTCTAGGGATATGAGTTGCTTGATGACAAATTCTTCTTGTATTTGTGGAATCTGAAAGGAAGGAGTTGCACTTGTGTGTTTAGTGGTGAACTCGTGTATTGTTGTTTTGTCTTCATTTGAAAGGATAGAACAGTTTTCTGGAGCTTTTTTAAATACATTAGCAAAAAAATCATTGAAATATTCAGCAGTGGTGTGTGCGTCCTGTATAGGATTACCTGATATGTCAACAATAAAGTTAGTTTGAGATTTGGATGATTTACCTGAAATGTCTTTTAGATTTTTCCATAGCTTTTTAGGGTTGTTAGGATTATTATTTATTGAATTTGTATAAAATGACTTTTTTGCATCTGTTATAAGTGATTTTGTTTTATTTCTCCATGCAGTATTTGAAGGAATCTTCATCATTAGACCTTTTGGCATGGTCTCTTTTCATCATAGCATTGGATATTTTAGTATTAAACCAGTCTGGTAGATTTTTATGTTTTACCCTTTTTTGTTTTATAGGAGCATGTGAGTTTAGTGAATCATTATATAGATTGAGAAAATATTCAAGTGAATCATCTATGTCATCAAAAATATCAATTACAGACCATGGCTGTGCTTTTAGAGAATTGATAAAATTTTGTTCATCAAACTTTTTAACATTTCTGTATCTAATCATATTATGTGTGGGTCCTGAGTCCTTTTGTGATGACAGTTTTCGTGTGAAGCAGACTGGATAATGGTCACTAAGGTTAATGTGGGGTACACGTATTTCGACTATGTTACATGGCATATTTGTATAGACATGGTCAATGATGGAAGAAGTTTGATGGGTGACTCTGGTGGGTTCCTCAACCATCTGGGTCAAATTGAATGCATTTATAGTGTTCCTCCAAGTAGAATTTGAATCTAAATTACTCATGTTATAATTTAAGTCACCAGTTATGATAACCTCTTTGTTTTCTGAATATAGCCGCTCTAAAATTTGTTCAAATTCCTGATTCCAGGCACAGTTTGAAGATGGAGGTCTGTAGATATATCCAAATATGAATGGCTTTTGCTTAGAACACTTTATTTCAAGCCAGATGGCTTCAAGCATATCACTATCAAGGTCATGCCTTTGAACACTATGATATTTACAATTTACATATACAACTACTCCTCCTCCATTACTTTGTCTGTCTCTTCGAAACATATTGAAATTATTTAGTTGAAATTCACTGTCTTCAAAATGACTATTTAAAAATGTTTCACATAAGCCAAGTATATCGATTTCTTTGTGGTAATGTAATAAAATTTTCATCTGATCAAATTTGGGGTAGAGATAATGGATATTGAGATGAAAAATTTTTAATCCTTGTTTATTGAAGAATGGTTGTATGTTTGGATTTTCATTGATCTCAATATCAGTCAAGTTTTCTTCATTAATTGTATGAGCAGTGTCAAAGTTGACATTGTTGCTACTTTCTGGCTGTGGAGAGTTATTTTCTAGTATGGTGGAAGTACCCAGTAATTCTGAGCACCGCGTGGAGAGAATTGGGTACATTGTATCTTGTTTTATCTCGTAGAAACTCTCTAACCAGTTAAGAACTTATCTGGTCTTTTCCATGTTTCTTCTTCATTTTCCTTTTGGTTCTTTTAATAAATATCATTCACGATAACATAAGTAAATCCTCTATGAAAGATGAAAACAAAGGTCAACCAGGCAAAGGCGACGTTTACAGAACGCAGGCCCCGGCTCAATCAAGCCACAACAGCAAAATCAAAGTACAGTTACACAGAGCAGCATTGTCTGGGAATAGATGTGAAAACAAATATCTGTTATGTGCAATCTAATGGATAAGAGCAGTTTGAAAATTAAACTACAATACTACTGTTAGATAGCAAGATCCAAAACAGTTTTGGAAGGGGTGCAGCTGCCCACTGAAAATGTCTAAACAATGGTAAGGATATAGGCACATGCATGCCATTCAACAGGCGAATACTTCTGGGGGAAATGAGTAGGAGTAATACTGTGTCCTCGATTACTGTATTAAATGGTTGTGATTTCTGCTTGGTGACAGATGGTTATGGTCAACCCTCACAAGATTGTGTTGGTTTTTGTAAATAGCAGTGACAGAGCTGATGTCATGTCTCCGCTTTACAGTTTGCCAGTTAAGCTCTGCTAACATGATAGATACACAACTGATGTAACCGTAGTCGCAATATACATGTGTACAATGTACGTACATACCACTCCTGGCAAATTTTCGACATGATAAATTTTGACAAATGATTCCAAACTGTGGAACAATATTCCAACTGGGTCTAACAATGGGTTGAAAGGCAGTTTCAATGATCTTTTTGCTTCGAGTTTTAACATTTCCTTTTAAAATATGAGTGAGATGTTGAATTTAGCTATTATATGAAATGTATTGTAGGTCCAGGATAGATCTTTGCTTATTGTTATACCTAAATATTAAGCAGCCATAAGCCTCAGTGAATTTTAGTTCTCTTTTGAGGTTAGGGCGCATCTATTTTTATGCGAAAAAAAATTACTAAATTTTACAATGTGTAAAAGATGTGTTTGTAAAAACATGTACAATGCAATCACAATTTTCCGTAAAAAAGGAACAAATATGATTTACAGTCAAGTAAAAAGAGATATTTAAGAAATTAGGTGATAACTAAATTAAAGAAGCTTAATTAGGGTCCTATATAAAAGAGTTAGAATACTTGTTAGTTCAGAAAAGAGGTATTACAATTCAAGGGGACGTCCACTGTCCACTGCAAATGCTATGTCTGATTTTGTAAAATGAGTGAATTTTGTAACCTACGTTGTTGCAGATTTTAATTCCAAACTGCTGAGCAATTTAGTAACACTGCTTGTGTAATTGTAGTCTTACATCACGTGATAGGCTGCTGACCTTTGCATTTCTTTGTTTGTTGTTGTTGTTTTTAAGGGGGTACCAAGAATGCCAGACAATAGAACAGCATTTAAGATAAGGGGGGAAAAGGTGTTGCATGCTGCAGTATATTGACCTATTTATTGTCAGTTTTTACATTTCTTTGAATGAAACAGAAGATGATGTTGCTTTTGATCACGATGTTATATTATTAGAAAGAAACGGAATCACTAAAGAACGCCAAAAACAACAAAATTAAAAGAAATGTAGCATGCTCGGTTTGACTGAGCATATTTAGAGGCAGAACTGGAAAGTGAAAGATACCTTAATTCCACGCCCCCTAGCATCGACTTAAGTAGAATTCAATATTTACACATGAAAAATGGTCAGATTTTAGATTAAGAAACATCTGCAGTTGTGATGAAGCCTAAGTGGGTACATTATGGAGTCTCTCGACATTCCTAAGATTTCGCATTTGTCTTGATTCCATTGACCAGGCTCTTTCCATTTTTTTTCAAATTCTTGGGATTTTTCTGCAGAGATATTCCGTCATTTGAGCCGCGTCACGACAAAACCAACATAATGGGTTTGCGACCAGCATTGATCCAGACCAGCCTGCGCATCCGCGCAATCTGATCAGGATCGATGCTGTTCGCTTACTAACCCTATAACAAGTAGAGAAACTGATAGCGAACAGCATGGATCCTGATCAGACTGCACAGATGCGCAGGCTGGTCTGGATCCATGCTGGTCGCAAATCCATTATGTTGGTTTTGTCGTGACGCGGCTCATTTATTGAGTGGGTCCCGGTCATGTGACAAATAGTCTCATCAGCAAACATAGTCTTATATTTGACAGAGTCTGTTAGGCAGGTCATTTATACTGCTACGTATAGGAATAGGTAATGGTCAAGGACGGATCCCTGTTGAACACAGCAGTTTTTTTTATCAGACAGATGATCACCTTTGTCAAATATCTTAGAAAGGTCCATGAGAATGACATCAGTTTGGTTGATAGGTTCATGGTTTTTGGTGATTTCTTGTTTGAAATTTAGAACATGGGTTCGCAGCTGTGGTCTGAACAAACAAACTTAATATAAGCCGTTTTGAGAAAAGTCTATAATTAAGCAATATGATTTAAAATTTCAAAACGGCTTATTATCAAGTTTTTATATTATCAGTACATGTGCTGGGATTGACAAATATACATTTTATTTGGATTTTAAAGGCGTTTTGAGCGAGCTTAACACCACAAGTGTCTGTGCAAAAACATTGTTCAGCCGTTTTTTGTTTTGTTTTTTCTTTTTGTCATTTTTTTATTTTGAAGAAAGACGATGTGAGGTTGGATATATGTAAAATAGTATTTTATGTAATACAAGTCAGGGATATGGGTCTACAATTGCTTAGTTTGGACTTAAATTCTTTTTTTTAAAGACTTGTGCTACTATAGCTAACATTCTACTAATATTTAATTGATAATATAAAAAATACAGGTTTTAGACAATTCTTTCGTTTACTGTATGGTATATGTTTTTTAAAGTATCAAAGATGGCGGACATGTTAGGGAAGCCGGCTTTTCCAGTAGTTTTCTTGTCACTTTTTGTGCATTGTATAAATGCAGCAAGTAAAGATGCATTCTATGAAGAACTATTTATTAAATCTTTGGAGAAAGGAAATGTATTGAATCACTTCCAATTCACAACAATTTGGAATTCGTCTATTTCCGATGAAGAAACATGTGAGTTATGCCTCAGCAAGTTTAAAAATATTTTTCAACAATAATTCCTGTAAATTGTAATGTCTGATTTTCGACAAAATACCAATCTAAATGGAAATTGTGTGGAAGAGTAGTGAAAGGTTAGAGCATCGTGCTCCTTAGACGGGTGTCGTGGGTTCAAGTCTCACCAGAGGCAGTGGTGTGATTCTCTTAGACTTACCATTTTCCAAATTGTTTCACAGTCTTCATTGGTGCGATTACTGGTTATTACACCCTAGGAAGCAGAAAGCTGGTGTGACATAAACCGAATGTCTAGGTTCCCAATCTCTGTTTGACAACAATGGTAAAACAGTAAAGATAATGATCAGAATACATATAGGTCAGCTGGTTAAACCAATGATTCTCACTCCTGAGGTCCCGGGTTCGATACTGGGTTACACCCTTGGGATTTTTCAGAGACACTTTCAGTGTTTCCCACCTACCTAGAGGTGTACTGGTAAGAAATCAAGGTAATCCTCGCATGTATCAGTGCTATACAATGGGCATGCAGGGCTCACGCTGTCGGTCGCAATAGTCGCCATTTGCGATTATTTTATAAGTTTGGCGATTATTTTTGCATTTTGGCTACAAAATCTGGCGATTATATTTTACTTCCAACAGTGTTTATATAAGGTGTAAAAATCGATAAAGAATGCAATAGACCCAATTAACACCAGCGGGGTGGATTTAATTGAGTGTCAACTTTTTATCGGTCACGTGCCGCTTACCACATTGCCCGAGGTGATAAAAATACATGCGAGATGTAAAATTGTATAAGTACTTAAAAGATATTGTCCAGCATTAAAATAGCCATCAAATGTTCGCCAATTAGCCAAAAAAATCGTCTTAGAATTGATAAAGTGGATATTTACCAACCCAAAATTTACCGTAAATTACAGTAATGGCAAATTTTGATTTTTTTTGTTTTAAGCTGCTTGACTAAATCGCCAGAGGAAAACAATGATAAAATATTTAAAAAGTATTTACTTTCAAACAACTTTTTGGACTACAAACAAAATTGTGAATTTTTCTTCAGAAAACGGGAAAAATCCGATTGTCACATATTTTCGCAACACCGATAATTTTGATAGTGAAAATAAGCTATGTTCTGTTTAAAAGCCTTTACTAATATGGCAGAAAATTTATATATCATTGGTTTTGATGACATTTTTCAGTAAGTTATTCAGAAAAAAGACTGCATTCTGTGAATGAGTTTGCAAGTGTTATTTCTATAGGCATAAATGACCTAGATCTACTCCAGTTCAGTGTGAAATGTGGAAATTGACGGGGTTATAGATGACAAAATTTGATTAGAACAAACAAAATAAATTGTCTGATAAAAGCATTATGTAAATTTATAATGAAACTTTACAGTAATTATACTACATGTATATAACATTTTTATTCTGTTCTATAATAACAATTTAAAGTGTGGTTCTATTTTAAAAAAAGATATTTATCAATATACACAAATGTATCAGTTTATTTGAGAATCCTTATAAAACTGAAAAAGTTTTATATGTAATGTTTATTTAATCAACTGCTTATGTTGTTAACCGCTAAATCTTGAATAGTCCGCTGAACTTTTGGCTATTATTATTTTAAGTTAAAAATATTGGCTATTATTTTATTTGAGCCAGTGTGAGCCCAGGGCATGTAAAAGAACCAAGGGGTCTATTAGGTTCCTGGGTTCCCTTGTATCTCATAGCTGTCTCTTTAATGTATACAATGTAGAGTGATCGGAAACGATTTTAAAGCAGTATGATGTAGAAGTAGAATACTACTTCTCTGGGTAGGAAGGCTGTGGTTTACTGTTATGACCGACATCACCATAACAATTAACATAAAGGTATGCACTGTCTAATTATTTTCTTGACCTCTTCGACAAGTCATATAAGTCAGACTTAAATTCAAGTGCACAGTAATACAGGGTTATCAGTGACGCATGATCAGGCAGCCTGGTATGCATCTTTAATGCATAGATTTCAAAAATTCTGCATAAGTTTTAATTTTCACTGAAGACACTTAAACATGATAAACGTAAGTAACTAAACAAACATAAATACATTTGCCAGCCAGTGATTACACACCACAAGCTGTCAGTCAGATATCATTACATCATAATTCATATAGCCTGCAATAATTATGTCAGCACTTTTCGATTAGAGCTCCACGATGCTTAGTGTTGATCAAATTAGTTTGTGTTTGCTGCAGATTGAGACATTCTGCCGTGACAGTACTAGTGATTAATATTTGAAACCAAGAATGTTACTGTTGATTGGTAATCCATGACTGCTTCTGCGACTTATTAAAAATAAGTTTTAATCCTACAACTCTTTAAATCACCCCACAACAAAATAGTCTGAGGCGGTCTTGATTAGATGGCTATAATGGTAAGTAAATATGAATAATGATCAGCTTGGTCAAAACAACTGAGCATCGTATTAAAAAAAAGTCAAAAGGGGTTAAGAAGACCAATGAGAAGATCCTTCATGTCTCGAGTGATTTTGAAACAGAGATTCCATGGATTTTATGCGAGGAATTGCATACAATATCAGATATTGACTGAAATATGTATACACATTGGTGATCAAGGTCACTTGATTAACTCTCGGAATAGTTCTATTTCACAACCAAGAATAGCTGAGTGTAAATAAAGAATGACAGACATATATATATATTAACCTGTTTTTAGCTCACCTGTCACAAAGTGACAGGGTGAGCTTTTGTGATCGCTTTTCATCTGGCGTCCGGCCGTCCGTCGTTCTTCCGTCGTCCGTCCGTAAACTTTTTACTTTAAATGACATCTCCTCATAAACCACTAAGCCAATTTCATCCAAACTTCACAGGAATGTTCCTTTGGTGGTCACCTTTAAAAATTGTTCAAAGAATTTAATTCCATGCAGAACTCTGGTTGCCATGGCAACCGAAAGAAAAAACTTTAAATATCTTCTTTTAAAAAACCATAAGAGCTAGAGCTTAGATATTTGGCATGAAACATCTTCTAGTGAGTGTCTACAAAGTTTGTTCAAATAAAAGCCCTGGGGTCAAAATTGGCCCCGCCCCGGGGGGTCATTGATTTTCCCTATATGCATATAGTAAAAACTTAAAAAATCTTCTTTTAGAGAACCCAAAGAGCTAGAGCTAAGATATTTAGCATGAAATATGTTCTAATGGGTGTCTACCAAGTTTGTTCAAATAAAAGCCCTGGGGTCAAAATTGGCCCGGCCCCGGGGGGTCATTGATTTTCCCTATATGCATATAGTAAAAACTTAAAAAATCTTCTTTTAAAGAACTCAAAGAGCTATGGCTAAGATATTGAGCATCAAACATGTTCTAATGGGTGTCTACCAAGTTTGTTCAAATAAAAGCCCTGGGGTCAAAATTGGCCCCTCCCCAGGGGGTCATTGATTTTCCCTATATGCATATAGTAAAAACTTAAAAAATCTTCTTTTAAAGAACCAAAAGAGTTACAGCTAAGATATTTAGCATGAAACATGTTCTAATAAGTGTCTACCAAGTTTGATCAAATGAAAGCCCTGTGGTCAAAATTGGCCCCGCCCCGGGGGGGGGGGGGTCATTGATTTTCCCTATATGCATATAGTAAAAACTTAAAAAATCTTCTTTTAAAGAAATCAAAGAGCTATGGCTAAGATATTAAGCATCAAACATGTTCTAATAGGTGTCTACCAAGTTTGTTCAAATAAAAGCCCTGGGGTCAAAATTGGCACCGCCCCGGGGGTCATTGATTTTCCTTATATGTGTATAGCAAAAACTTAAAAAATCTTCTTTGAAAAAACCCAAATAGCTAGAGTTAAGATATTAAGCATGAAACATCTTTTAGTGAGTGTCTACAAAGTTTGTTCAAATAAAAGACCTGGGGTCAAAATTGGCCCCGCCCCGGGGGTCATTGATTTTCTTTATATGTGTGTAGCAAAAACTTAAAATCTTCTTTGAAAAAACCCAAATAGCTAGAGTTTAGATATTAAGCATGAAACATCTTCTAGTAAGTGTCTACAAAGTTTGTTCAAATAAAAGCCCTGGCCCGGCCCCAGGGGTGTCATTGTTTTTAACTATATGTGTATAGTAAAAACTTTAAACAAATCTTCTTTTAAAAAGCCCAATCAGCTAGAGCTTAGATGTTTAGCATGAAACATCTTCTTATGGGTGTCTACCAAGTTTGTGCAAAATAAAAGCCCTTGGGTTAAATTGGCCCTGCAATGTTGGGGGGAGGGGGATGGGGGTTGGGGGGGGGGCTATATACAGGTGAGCGACCTCAGGGCCATCATGGCCCTCTTGTTTTATGATTTTTCTTTCATTTATTTTTTGACAAAACTTACAAATTTTTGGAAATCAAGAAATTGGACCGATTGTTACATTCTACAAGTTGTCCCATTCTTATTTTTATCAAATGTCGGATGAGACTAACTGAACATAACACTTTTAACAAAATCTCATGGAAGCCTGATGAAATAGCCGATAAAAAGCATATTAAAAAAAATGTTTAATTTATCATGATTAAAATCAACAATACCTAGAATTGTGAATGTTTCTACAGAAAACAGACAAATATTTTAAGTTTCATTTGTCACATATTTTCAAAATGCTGCTTTTTTATGATTAAAAAATTCCCGCTGCGTACATACCGGAAGGTTCTGCAGTGTATACATTCAGAAAAAAAGTCGTCTAAAGGACTTTTAGGAGATATGTTTGTTAAATGGAGTGTATCATTACTCTTAATATTTATAGATTAAATTTACTTTAGGTATTGTTGATATTTGTGGAGATAGCCAGTGTGATTTTCTTTCGAGTTTCTTTGGGCAATCTCCTGGATTAAACCCCTATGCATTTTTAGCTCACCTGTCACAAAGTGACAGGGTGAGCTTTTGTGATCGCTTTTCGTCTGGCGTCCGTCCGTCGTCCCTCCGTAAACTTTTACTTTAAATGACATCTCCTCATAAACCACTAAGCCAATTTCATCCAAACTTCACAGGAATGTTCCTTTGGTGGTCACCTTTAAAAATTGTTCAAAGAATTTAATTCCATGCAGAACTCTGGTTGCCATGGCAACCGAAAGAAAAAACTTTAAATATCTTCTTTTAAAAAACCATAAGAGCTAGAGCTTAGATATTTGGCATGAAACATCTTCTAGTGAGTGTCTACCAAGTTTGTTCAAATAAAAGCCCTGGGGTCAAAATTGGCCCCGCCCCGGGGGATCATTGATTTTCCCTATATGCATATAGTAAAAACTTAAAAAATCTTCTTTTAAAGAACCCAAAGAGCTAGAGCTAAGATATTTAGCATGAAACATGTTCTAATGGGTGTCTACCAAGTTTGTTCAAATAAAAGCCCTGGGGTCAAAATTGGCCCCACCCCGGGGGGTCATTGATTTTCCCTATATGCATATAGTAAAAACTTTAAAAAATCTTCTTTTAAAGAACCAAAAGAGTTAGAGCTAAGATATTTAGCATGAAACATGTTCTAATAAGTGTCTACCAAGTTTGTTCAAATAATAGCCCTGGGGTCAAAATTGGCCCCGCCCCGGGGGTCATTGATTTTCCCAATATGCATATAGTAAAAACTTAAAAAATCTTCTTTTAAAGAACTCAAAGAGCTATGGCTAAGATATTTAGCATCAAACATGTTCTAATAGGTGTCTACCAAGTTTGTTCAAATAAAAGCCCTGGGGTCAAAATTGGCACCGCCATGGGGGTCATTGATTTTCCTTATATGTGTATAGCAAAAACTTAAAAAATCTTCTTTGAAAAAACTCAAATAGCTAGAGTTAAGATATTAAGCATGAAACATCTTTTAGTGAGTGTCTACAAAGTTTGTTCAAATAAAAGACCTGGGGTCAAAATTGGCCCTGTCCCGGGGGTCATTGATTTTCTTTATATGTGTATAGCAAAAACTTAAAATCTTCTTTGAAAAAACCCAAAGAGCTAGAGTTTAGATATTAAGCATGAAACATCTTCTAGTAAGTGTCTACAAAGTTTGTTCAAATAAAAGCCCTGGGGTCAAAACTGGCCCTGCCCCAGGGGTGTCATTGTTTTTAACTACATGTGTATAGTAAAAACTTTAAAAAAATCTTCTTTTAAAAAGCCCAATGAGCTAGAGCTTAGATGTTTAGCATGAAACATCTTCTTATGGGTGTCTACCAAGTTTGTGCAAATAAAAGCCCTTGGGTTAAATTGGCCCTGCAACGTTGGGGGGGGGGGGGGGGGGTTGGGTAGTGCCTATATACAGGTGAGCGACCTCAGGGCCATCATGGCCCTCTTGTTCAGTAGTAAAACTTGTATATAATACACTAAAGAAAACGGAGTGAACCTGGTTTATATACTCCTGGTTTAGACCCAGGGGTCTAATCCAGTATATAGCCTTTCTTTGTCTCTGAAAGTGTTAGAATGGTATAAATGTAAGAATAGTGTAAATGAGCTGCGTCACGACAAAACCAATATAACGGGTTTGCGACCAGCATGGATCCAGACCAGCCTGCGCATCCGGGCAGTCTGATCAGGATCCATGCTGTTTGCTATCAGTTTCTCTACTTGTAATAGGGTTGGTAAGCAAACAGCTTGGATCCTGATCTGACTGCAGGGATGCGCATGCTGGTCTGGATCCATGCTGGTCGCCAACCCATTATGTTGGTTTTGAAATGATGTGGCTCAAATGTAGTATATGTTTAATGTACACTCCTGGATCTGCTGATGCTCTAGTATTTATTAAGCAGTTATTATGCATGAAATCTATTTGTTCTGTTTGACTGTTAAACTTTTTGATGCTTTTTTTCCTATTATTATTACCTGAACTGTCATTAAACAGAATAATCTGAATTTATTTAAGTTTCATTGTCTAGGAAGCATTAGCTTTTATTCACACTCTTGAATCTGTTCCTTGAACCAACCATTAGTAAAGTTTCTTTCTAAAGGAAATGATAGCTTGCTCCTAATTGAGTTTGAACCTACGTGGCTAGCAATAGTGAATCTCACTTGGTCAAAAACTTACCCAGTGATTGTAGCATGATAGGCAGACAAATATACATAATGAATTTTTTTTTTCAGTTCAACACTACAATTTATTTCCAAAGGCTTTAGGAGATGTATTGAATAGATATAAAGTTCAAGAGCTGCACCTGTCTCAAACACAGGGGGTGTGGAAACATGAGCATTGGGGTTACCCTCCAGAAGATGCCCCACCTGGGGTGGAACTATGGGTGTGGTTTCAACCGAATTATGGACTGTAAGTTGTGCTCTTTTGTTTTCATACTAGAAATTTAATTCTGTCATTAACTGTAGCTAATGTAGCTTTAATGAACTGATTCTTATTATAGTCTTCACATAAAAATTTAAGAATAAAAGTAAACATTCTCAGTTGATAAAAATCATAGTAGCTTTCAAGTTTGTTTTGTCTTCAATCTCTCAATATGTGCCTGTAGACTAAGAAAACATTTAAATTTGTCCTATAGACTTATTAAATTATTTCTAGTTTTAATATCTGGATCAATGTTTAAAAGCTAATATATCTATCTTCCACCTCTCGGGTTAAAAAATTAAGCTCTATAAATGGTACATAAGAGAGTAGCTCTTGAGGTTTCTTGAGGTTTACTCTCAAATTAAGGTGATAGCCAATATAACACTATTATACTGTGTACAATATTATTTGAATTGTGTAATGTTTTTACAATATTTTAAACATTGTCATGTTTTATATAATTGTTTAACTGTATTGATAGAGTACCTGTATTGATCAGCTTGCTGTTGATACAGTGTTATACATGAATACTTTATGATCTTATATTGATTGTTATTAAGCATTGATCAATTATGGGCAGAATTAGTGAACGCTTTGTCGGGTTTATTCTGTGCGTCCTTAAACTTCATGGACTCGAAGGCCACGGTCATACCACGCTGGAGCTTCAGACCTATGGGTCTTGCATCAGAGTATTACAGTTTTGACTCGAGATTCATGCGGTACTCGGCACTTCCTAAAGAAATTGTCTGTACAGAAAATCTTACACCTTGGGAAAAACTGCTACCTTGTGAATCTCAGGTAATAATTATTATGATGATACTGATCCATCATTTAACTGCTATGAAAATATATCAAAACCTGTACTTAAAGACCACCCCCAATCAAAGTCCACACACCTGTACATAAATTAATAGTCATAACTAAGTGAAACAAATTCAGTAAAGAATTTAATGTTTTTAAACAGTCTGTTGATTAAGGCTTATTATAATATAACCCAAGTATGTTCTTTAAATGTTACTGATGTACATTGTAACATGTACATTGAAAAGTCACACCCTTCTTCTGTATATAATAATAGTACTTTGATTATAATGAAAACATTTTATTTGTTTTGAAGCAATTAGTTTTATGAAGAAAAAACATGATGTCTATTCAATTTTTGGGGAAACTGCATGATTTTAAAATAAAGAATTTTTCTTTGGGGAAGCCGCCCTGAAAGAACCCCTGCTGTAAAAGGAAAAAAGCCCTGTTTATGTTATATATGGTATTTTCCTGTATTATTTTCAGGCTGGTTAAGCTACTTTGTTTAATGCCGTGAGATTGTATGATGCCAGTTATCACTCTCTAGGCCTGCATGTCAGACCTGTATGTCAGGTGAGTTATCAAGGTCAAAGGTCATTTTCTACTTGTATACTTAGTTATTACATTAATTAAAAATTCTCCTTCACTGTTTGAGTATTTATTTCTATAACTAAGTTCCGTATAAACTTAATTAAGATATCTTTTGCATAGAATAGAGAAATAAAGGAATCTGTAAAGAACGTCCAAAACGGCAAAATTGAAAATGTTGCAGACCAGATTAAATTGAGCCTGTTCATAGGTGTTGCTGGAAAGTGAAAGCTTCCTGCCCATGCCCACTAGCACCAGCTTCATATTTCTTATACAGTTTTGAATGTAGAAATACATGCAGATGTGTTCATATTATATGCAGTAGGTAAGAAAATAGCTGTGAAAATAAACTTAAAGTGAAACATTTCCACTAATCACAGTAACCAGAGCTTGTGACATTCCATGATACAATATTTTCAGGACAAAGAGTGCACACTGGCTGGTATAGAATTAAAGCAAACCCTAACAGTTGTATTCAACCCCACATCATCAAATAGAGGGAAACTGAATGGATACCAAAGTAGGTTGATATTACACTTGTAAAAAACGCCTCCGTGGTCGAGGGGTAAGACTTCTAATCCAGTTACCTCTCTGGCGTGGGTTCGATCCCCGGGAGATGCTTTGGTAGTTTAGCGCGGAGGAAGGTAGTCTAGTACTGGTGTAACTCTCCAGGAACGATGGTTAGGAAACTACCCGCCTATATGACTGAAATAATGTTGGGAAAAGGCATGAAATGAAACAAACAAACAAACAAACAAACACTTGTAAAAAAGCTACCAGCTCAGTCATCCAAATCAAAACATACATGTTATACTAGAAATGATTTTATGCTAATTGGTTTGGACTTAAATATTTGCACTGTAACATGCATGAATGCTTGTTACATATGTATGTACGTAGGTTAATTAACTCTTATCATGTTCAATATCTCAAATGGACTCGTCCATATTTCAGACTAGACTAAACCATTTGTTATGTTTAGGGAAAATGTCAAATTATGTATTGCCTGAATAGCAGAACAGTGCAGATCTTGATCAGACTGCAATTATATGTTCTGACTTTGGACTGCACTGGTTGCTTGGTATATCCAGTTGCCACCAGCCGATATAGCGGACAAAGGGTAAAATCAATTTATACAAATGTACTTTAAATCTTACAGATTGGAGTATAAAGTCAATGTTTGGTAGGAGCATACATGAAGCGTGTCCCATGTCTAGTTTTAGTAAAGTTTACGTTGACAATACTTTACATAAAGAGGTAAGAACCTTTGTTTGATTTCTGTTTCTATCTGATCACATGATAAGGGCTTTAGTGCATTGATACATAGCCTGATATTACAGATTAAAAGACTGCAGTTAGGCAATTATTTAAGTCTAATTAGTGTCGATCCTTCTCTATGTTGAGTTGTTTAGATCACAGACTCATATATTTTGCACCCTTACTTTTTCTTTTGGTGTACATTCTATCAGAAAATTTGGATTCTTTTATGCATGGGTGCAAGTTTTCCAGCATGTGCCGGAAGTTCCGGTTTTTCACGTGCCGGAGGGATTATTTTTGCAAATCACGTAAATCCGTTGAGATATTTGGAGGGGTATGGTGCGGGTCTACTCTTTCAAACTGAGAAGTACCACCGATTAGAAGTTCATAATCGAGAACGCTATATAACACACGGATGCTCACGGTTGTTCTCGAAGCGTCAATAGTAAACTTTCGCGGAAACTGCCGATAGTTTCCGAAGATATACGAGATGTTTACGAAAACATGTATTATTAATCCCGGCATGCAATTTTATCCGTGAATTTATTACAACGATTTAGATTGGCGCGCTAATTATAATCATCCAATGAAAAAGCGGCTTCGTTACCGATTCGGCTACAGGGTAATATGTAAACAGAAAGTAATTGTACAATTTGTTAGTCAAAATGAAGTTTCTAATTTCATTATATTTTTAAATGTACTTATTTTAATCATGAAAGACACAGGTATATCAGTAACTATTATTCAAGGTTTCCTAGTATTTTAAATTTTCAGGCTCTTATGTGTAGCGACAACAGAAATACTTTATTTAATCTAGCCATTTTTGTCAAAGCTATAATGCTGAAATTTCAATAAGTCATCTTCCTTATTTACTTATTTACTTCATGCCATGTTTGCATTATTATTTTTTGTTTTGTTGATTGTTCACTCTTATGCCCTTAAGGGCCATGAGTTTTGTTTATAAATAAAAATAAAAATACACGAAGGATTTAATACAAAAGATATCGAGAAGACCTTCAAAGTGAAAATACTATGTTATCTGGCATGTATTCATTCAAGGGAATTGCATTTTAGGCCTTCAAATGTGCTATAATGCAGGAGCTTCCGGGGGCCTCCGGCCCCCTGGACCCCTGGCCGGGCATTGCCCTGGACCCACCGGGCCCCCTGGCCCCCAAACAAATAGTTCAGGTTTTTCAAAATTTTAACTTGCACCCATGTTTATGTTATGAAATTATCCAGCTTGTTTATATCTGCAGTACTTGTGTGCCTGCTCAAGGGGAACGGTGACCTAGTGGTTAAGAAGTGTGCCTCTCAACCCAGAGATCATGGGTTCAAGCCCTGCTCAGGTCTCGATCATTTTCCTCATATGACACCAGCACTGGTTGGTTCCAGGGAGCTGATTCGAAAGTGATTAATATAAGTTGCAAGAAATTGTTTCGCAATCGAGCTGCAACATATTGTTTCCTAATTGAGCTGAAATGAATATGTTTAAACTGATTACCTGCTTGTGCATGAGAGGTCTTCCTCTGCCAGTTAAGTTGAAATGTCTGCGCATGACATTTACTGGATTAGTAAAGTTGAAATGTTGCCACATTACCTTTACTGGGTCAGTGTCCCTTAAAATCTAACAAAAACAAAAATGTTCTATATATCCAACCTGATGTTGTACATCCTGAAACAAGGTAAGGTCTTCTTTTACCAGTTAATCTGAAAACTTGCCGTATGACAGTCACAGTGATTATGTCATTACATGTAATAATGGCGCGTCTGTGCCAACTGGTTAAGGTTGTTGACTTTAAACCACTTGCCCCTCACCGCTTTGGGTTCAAATCCCGTCAGGGACTTTGAATTCTTTCATGTGACGAAGCTATCCAGCTAGCTTACGGAATGTCAGTGGTTCTACTCAGATACCTGTTCGTACCTGAAATAATGCACGGAAGGGCACCTGAGGTCTTCCTCCACCAGTAAAGCTGGAACGTCGCCTTATGACCTATACTGTGTAGGCATGACTTAAAACCCAATAAAACAAAACAAACAAAACAAACATGGAATAATGTTCTATATTCGACCAGATGTTATTACATCCCGAACCAGACCAAGTTGTTAACTTCACGAGGGGAGGAGAAAAACGTATGTACAATGTGTGGGACGTAAAGAAACATACCAAGTCGGGAAAGATATTCAACTTGCAAGGGTCGTACAATGCTAAAGTGAAATATGGGGAGATAACTCCGCCACCACTGTACGCACAGAGATTTGTAACAGGTTTGTTTGTAGTGTAGATAAAAAGTTTATTTATTATTGATTGAATAGTTGATAAAGTATTATCAGTTATTAGCAGTTTATGATAAGAATTTAACTTTTTCTTTTAAGAAGGAGCAATTTAGTAAAGTAATATGTAGTGAATGAACAGTTAACAGTGCAGACCACGATCAGACAGCACAAATGTAACAGCTGATTTTGGTCTTCACTGGTCACATGGTTAAAATTTTTTGCTGCAAGCACACTAAGGTTCAAGTTAAAGTGGGGACACTTTTGTGTAAAATTGTTAAGAACCATGTGTAAATTGTGTTAAAATCGACATAAAAACCAAATAAACTAACAAACAATATGTACCGCTATTGAAACAGAATATTCTACATAGGCATAGGCATAAACACCAGATAAACTAACTCGCAATTTGTACTGGTACTTTGGTAACATATGCTACATGGAGAATAACATGCTACTTTCTTTTGATATCAATTTTATCAGGCGAGGCTGATATGGGCTAGAAAGGGCGAGGCTTGCTATCAAAAGACAGTAGCATGTTTTTAGCTCACCTGTCACAAAGTGACAGGGTGAGCTTTTGTGATCGCTTTTCGTCCGGCGTCCGTCCGTCGTCCGTCCGTAAACTTTTACTTTAAATGACATCTCCTCATAAACCACTAAGCCAATTTCATCCAAACTTCACAGGAATGTTCCTTTGGTGGTCACCTTTAAAAATTGTTCAAAGAATTTAATTCCATGCAGAACTCTGGTTGCCATGGCAACCGAAAGAAAAAAACTTTAAATATCTTCTTTTAAAAAACCCTAAGAGCTAGAGCTTAGATATTTGGCATGAAACATCTTCTAGTGAGTGTCTACCAAGTTTGTTCAAATAAAAGCCCTGGGGTCAAAATTGGCCCCGCCCCAGGGGGTCATTGATTTTCCCTATATGCATATAGTAAAAACTTAAAAATTCTTCTTTTAAAGAACCCAAAGAGCTAGAGCTAAGATATTCAGCATGAAACATCTTCTAATGAGTGTGTACCAAGTTTGTTCAAATAAAAGCCCTGGGGTCAAAATTGGCCCCGCCCCAGGGGGTCATTGATTTTCCCTATATGCATATAGTAAAAACTTAAAAATTCTTCTTTTAAAGAACCCAAAGAGCTAGAGCTAAGATATTCAGCATGAAACATCTTCTAATGAGTGTGTACCAAGTTTGTTCAAATAAAAGCCCTGGGGTCAAAAATGGCCCCGCCCCAGGGAGTCATTGATTTTCCCTATATGCATATAGTAAAAACTTACAAAATCTTCTTTGAAAGAACTCAAAGAGCTAGAGCTAAGATATTCAGCATGAAACATCTTCTAATGGGTGTCTACCAAGTTTGTTCAAATAAAAGCCCTGGGGTCAAAATTGGCCCCGCCCTGGGGGTCATTGATTTTCCTTATATGTGTATAGCAAAAACTTAAATAATCTTCTTTGAAAAAACCCAAATAGCTAGAGTTTAGATATTAAGCATGAAACATCTTCTAGTGAGTGTCTACAAAGTTTGTTCAAATAAAAGCCCTGGGGTCAAAATTGGCCCCGCCCTGGGGGGTCTTAATTTTCCCTATATGCATATAGTAAAAACTTAAAAAATCTTCTTTGAAAAAACCTAAATAGCTAGAGTTTAGATATTGAACATGAAACATCTTCTAGTGAGTGTCTACCAAGTTTGTTCAAATAAAATCCCTGGGGTCAAAATTGGCCCCGCCCCAGGGGGTCATTGATTTTCCCTATATGCATATAGTAAAATCTTAAAAATTCTTCTTTAAAAGAACCCAAAGAGCTAGAGCTAAGATATTCAGCATGAAACATCTTCTAATGAGTGTGTACCTAGTTTGTTCAAATAAAAGCCCTGGGGTCAAAATTGGCCCCGCCCCAGCATTGATTTTCCCTATATGCATATAGTAAAAACTTAAAAAATTTTCTTTAAAAGAACCCAAAGAGCTAGAGCTAAGATATTCAGCATGAAACATCTTCTAATGGGTGTCTACCAAGTTTGTTCAAATAAAAGCCCTGGGGTCAAAATTGGCCCCGCCCCGGGGGTCATTGATTTTCCTTATATGTGTATAGCAAAAACTTAAATAATCTTCTTTGTAAAAACCCAAATAGCTAGAGTTTAGATATTAAGCATGAAACATCTTCTAGTGAGCGCTACAAAGTTTGTTCAAATAAAAGCCCTGGGGTCAAAACTGGCCCCGCCCCAGGGGTGTCATTGTTTTTAACTATATGTGTGTATTAAAAACTTAAAAATCTTCTTTTAAAAAACCCAATGAGCTAGAGCTTAGATGTTTAGCATGAAATATCTTCTTATGGATGTCTACAAAGTTTGTTCAAATAAAAGCCCTTGGGTGAAAATTGGCCCTGCCGGGGGTGGGGGCGGACGGGGGGCGGGTGAGATCATTGTTTTTCATTACATGTGTGTAGTAAAAACTTATTATTGTGAAACATCTTCTAATGAGTGTCTTCCAAGTTTGTTCAAATAAAAGCCCTGGGGTTTAAACTGGCCCTGCTCCGGGGGCCTATATACAGGTGAGCGACCTCAGGGCCATCATGGCCCTCTTGTTTCTATTTAGCGTGTAACACATAAAACTGTCAAAATAACAAAAGAGTCTACTTTTAAATAGTGAATTTCATAAAAAAAGGGGATTTTTGTTCAAAGAAATAATTTTTTAAACAAATTCATCCGCCCCTGAAACTTAGAATTTGTAAATGGCAGCCACTTTGTCTTTCGACTCGGATAAAATTAAAAGATACAACAGAATGTAGGCCTAACACAATAGAATTCTTACCTTTAATTTAAACATCGATCCAAAAAATCCCTTAGAATCACATAAACTTTACTGCACTTTTTGTCTTGAATTGTCAAATTCAAAAGTTCACGATTATTTCAATATTTAACAAAAGTCAAATCGGCAATCAAACACAAGCTACACAAACATGCGTCTTATTTTTTAAACGAAACAATTTGTTCACTTATTAAATAATAATCCGGCAAAATAAAGTAAACATTTACAAGTTCTCAAAGAAAATCGTCTAGCCTGTTTGTTATGATTACATGAATAGTATGACGTGAACATTGATGATGTCATTTGCAATATAAATTATGACGTCACTTCATTTAGTTAGTGTTACAACTATTCGCTATCTAATTTATTCGTATTTGAAATCAAAATTGAAATAATAAATAAATAGATATTGCATCTTGATTCAAGACTTGTAAGAGTATGAGATTACATTGTACGTAGAATTCACATGCTGATGAAAATGAGAATATAAGCTATTGAAAAAAGCCCGTTAAAAATGGGCGGGGCTTATTTACTGACCTGATATCAAAAATAATTATCAGGCAAGTGTTATCGGGCAGTTATCATAGCAGTTGCATGATAAAATTGCAAAGTACAGATGTGTTAATTTTGTGTTGGTCACAGAATTTTTCTATTATACATTTTATATCAACAGGTTACGGTTTAGAAAAAGGTGGTATTACAACCATCCTACATAACACATTGGACACAGATCTCACCGTGATCTACATGGAAACAATACCGTGGTATCTACGTGTCTACTTCAGCTCTATACAACTAGAGGCTAACAAACAACCAGTAAAACCTTGTAAGTGTTTCTAAAATATAGTTTTAGATATCACTCTGGAAACAAGTAATGAATAACTTTATTTCACAAATTTATCAACCTCCAATGTTTCAAGGGGTTTTACCCCTCCCGCTTTATCCTGAAGTTAGCTGTGTATTTTAAAAAATAAAAAGCAAACTCCGTGATAAAGAGGGGTCCCCTCATTTCTCCAATGTTTTGATGGGTTAAACCCCTCTTTATCAAAGAGTTTACTGGGTTTTTTGTGCCCCCACTTTAGGGGCGGGGGCATGTAGATTTACCCTTGTCAGTCCATCTGTCCGTTCTCATTTTGTGCCGCACATAGCTCAAAAAGTATTTGACCTAGAGTCATGAAACGTTACAGGAATGTTGCTTATAATGTGAAGTTGTGCACTTGGCCCGGCTTTCACGAACGTTCTCAAAGTCAAAATCTCAGCTCAAATCTGAGATTTTTCTCAACTTAGAAATTGAGATTGAGATTTTTGTGTCGCCTCTACGGAGTAGTGGCGACATATAGGGATCACTTCTCCGTCGACTGTCTGTCCGTCTGTCCGTCCGTCCGTCACAAAACTTGTCCGGACTACTCCTCATAAACTACTGGTGCAATTTCATCCAAACTTTACAGGAATGATCAGTACCAAGTCTAGTTGTGCATATTGTCAGCATTTTCCGGTTCAATGATTTTTGTCAGAGTTATGGCCCTTTAATAATTTTTAATTTTAAAGTTTGTCCAGACTACTTCTCTGATACCACTAATGCAATTTCAATGAAACTTTACAGGATTGATCTGTAGCTCAAGTCCTTGCGCAAATATTGCACGGGTTTTCCGGTTGAATGATTTTTGGCTGAGTTTTGGCCCTTTGATAAAAAGGTTTCTTTTTCTGTGTGTTGCCAGATACACAAAAGCTTGTCCGGACTACTCCTCATAAACTACTGGTGCAATTTCATCCAAACTTTACAGGAATGCTCAGTACCAAGTCTAGTTGTGCATATTGTCAGCATTTTCTGGTTCAATGATTTTTGTTTGAGTTATGGCCCTTTAATAATTTTTATTTTTAAAGTTTGTCCGGACTACTTCTCTTATACCACTAATGCAATTCAATGAAACTTTACAGGATTGATCTGTAGCTCAAGTCCTTGCGCATATTGCACGGGTTTTCCGGTTGAATGATTTTTGGCTGAGTTATGGCCCTTTGATAAAAAGATGTTTTTTACTGTGTGTTGCCAGATACACAAAAGCTTGTCCGGACTACTCCTCATAAACTACTGGTGCAATTTTATCCAAACTTTACAGGAATGATCAGTACCAAGTCTAGTTGTGCACTGTCCGTCTGTCTGTCCGTCTTGTCACAAAATTTGTCCCAACATGAAATTGGCCATCATGAGGTGTCACATGTGATTACTGATCGCTCTTGTTCTCATTTAGGCTTCACTAAAAATATTGAGAAAAATCTTAACTTAAAGGGACTCAACTGAGGTTTTTTGACATGATGGGACTGAAAATATTTTTTTCCAGATAAATGTATCATTTGATGTAGGTGTAGACAACGAATCTTTGATCATTCGCGCACTTCGTTTTTCCATAATAATTATTCAAATTGTAAAAAAATGACCCAAAATGAAAAGCGTTTAAACGCTTTTCACTCAAATTAGGCTAAGAAAAGCATAAAACTACGATTTTCGATTTATTTTAAGGTATATTTCTTAACTATCTTTGCATATATTTCTGTTTAAAGCGCCCCAGTTCATTTATGTGAGAAATTCTAATGTTATGTTTTTAGGCTTTTAAACCTCAGTGGAGTCCCTTTAAGATTTGAGGTTTTTCTCAGACATATTGAGACAAGGTTTGGTTGTCTCAGATTATGTCTCAGTGAAGCTAAATTATTATTCTCATGGGTCTTTTACTTTCTACATGGATATTTTGATAAATGAACATAATTTGATTTTTTTTGGCAAATAAAGTTCCTATTAATTTCTTATAATTAGCAATATATTGACTGATTATTGTGGGTGACATCATGCGCTCTAATTCATGACGTCATGAAATTATGACGTCACAATAATTATACTAAATATAATTTATAGAATTTTTTTTTCTTTTAAAATACTGTTTGCAAAAAATTATGTAAGTCTACATTCATACTTGATAAATTAATGTGCCCAAACTATATGGGGCGCATTTACATTTACCCATGTCCGTCCGTCCATCTGCACTACCAAATAGGGGGATAGGGAGCCATCTAACTGTAAACAGAACGAAAGAAAACAATAGAATTCATTCCGTAACAATTGAATAAGGGGCCATGGCCCTCAATTAAATGAAAGAAAATATCAATAGAAATGGCCCTTTATCCCTATTTGGTCGCATGTCCATCTGCTGTAAACCTTAACTGTAAACGGCATCTCCTCATAATCCGCTCGAAACTTCACAGAAATGTTTTTTTAGTGGTCAAATTGTTCAAAGAATTTAATTCCAGGCATAACTGTGGTTACCATGGCAACCCAAAGAAAAAACTTAATAAATCTTCCTTTAAAAACCAAAAGAGCTTGAGCTTAGATATTTCGCATGAAACATTGTCTAGTCAGTGTCTACCAAGTTTGTTCAAATAAAATCCCTGGGTTCAAAATTGTCTCCGCCTGGGGGGGGTGGGGGGGTCATTGATATTTCTTATATGTTTATAGTAAAAACTTACAGTAAAAATCTTATTTTAAAAATCCCAAAGAGCTAGAGCTAAGATATTAAGCATGAAACATCTTCTAATGGGTGTCTACCAAGTTTGTTCAAATTAAAGCCCTGGGGTCAAATTGGCCCGGGGGGGGGGAGGGTCATTCATTTTCCTTAAATGTATAAAGTAAAAACTTAAAAAATCTTCTTTTAACAAACCAAAATAGCTAGGGCTTAGATATTAAGCATGAAACATCTTGTAGTAAGTGTCTACCAAGTATTTTGTTCAAATAAAAGCCCTGTGGTCAAAAGTTGCCCCGCCCCAGGGGGTCATTGATTTTCTTTATTTGTATATATTAAAAACAAAAGAATCTTCTTTGAAAAACCCAAAGAGCTAGAGCTTATATATTATGAATGGAACAATTTCAAGTCTGTATCTACCAAGTTTGTTCAAATAAAAGCCTTAGGGTCAAAATTGGCCCCTCCACTGGGTGTCTTTAATATTCCTTATAAATAAATATGTATAAAGTGAAAACTTATAAAGATCTTCTTTTGAAAAAAAACAAAAGAGCTAGAGCTTAGATATTAAGCATGAAACATCTTCTAGTTGTGCCTACCAAGTTTTTGGGTCAAATTGGCCCCACCCCTGGTTGTCATTGAGTGGCTTTTAGAGCTATAAAAAGAAAAATCTTGTCCTGCTTTCACAGGTCACACTGCTGGCAAGGTTTTGACCAAACTTCATAGGAGTGATCAGTAGCATACCTAGTTTTGGAAGATATATGTTTTTTTGGGACAAAAACCCCTTCCAATTGGCATGGACCATCAAAGTCAAATTCATGAAATTCTCTTGTAAGTCTAAAACTATAAGATATATCAACATGAAACTTTGTAGGTAGACAGATTTCATTGGGTAGATGTGCAGTGCAAAACTAACCGTAACTTAAATCTTTGCCTTGCCTAATTTTGGAGGTATTGCCCTTTGTTCATTTTTGTGTCGCCTTGAAAAACTTTATTTTTGTCTGGGTCATTTCTCCTAAAGTATAAAATCTATGGACTTAAAACTTCAAAGCATGATAGATGTCATTAAGAAGAAGTTCAGTGCACATGAACTGGTACTCTACAATTCTTATTTTTTGATTTATTGCCCTTTGTAAATTTTCATACTTTATTTTTGTCCAGGCCATTTCGCCTATAAAAGCTATGGACATGAAACTTCATAGGATGATAGATCTCATTAAGAAGAAGTGCAGTGCACAAGAACTGGTACTCTGCATTTCTTATTTTTTTGAGTTATTGCCCTTTGTTAATTTTCATACTTTATTTTTGTCTGGGCCATTTCTCCTAAAGTATAAAGCTATGGACTTGAAACTTCATAGGATGATAGATCTCATTAAGAAGAAGTGCAGTGCACAAGAACTGGTACTCTACAATTCTTATATTTTGAGTTATTGCCCTTTGTTAATTTTCATACTTTATTTTTGTCTGGGTCATTTCTCCTATAGTATAAAAGCTATGGACTTGAAACTTCATAGGATGATAGATTCTCATTAAGAAGAAGTGCAGTGCACAAGAACTGGTACTCTACAATTCTTATTTTTTGAGTTATTGCCCTTTGTTAATTTTCATACTTTATTTTTGTCTGGGCCATTTCTCATAAATTATAAAAAGCTTTAGACTTAAAACTTAATAGGATGATAAATCTTATTGATAAGAAGTGCAGTGCACTCTGCATTTTTTATTTTTTGAGTTATTGCCCATTGTTGATTTTCAAATTTCATTTTTGTCCTGGCCATTTCTCCTAAACTATATTGTTCACAAGGCGACACATCCAACTCGCGGAGTTCTAGTTATACTTTGAACTTTGTCTGGGACATAACTCTAAAATTATCAGAGATATCAACATGAAACTTTGTAGGTAGACAGATCTCATTGGGTAGAAGTGCATTACAAAATAACTTTATCTCTGCATTACCTTATTTTGGAGTTATTGCCCTTTGTTCATTTTTAAACTTTGAACATTGTCCGGGACATACCTCTGAAACTCTGTAGGTAGATATTTCTTACTGGATGAAGGTGCAGTGCAAAAAAAACATAATTCTGCCTTGCCAAATTTTGGAATTATTGCCCTTTGCTCATTTAAATACTTTGAACTTTATCCAGGACATAATTGGAAACTATAAGAGATATCAACATGATGCTTTATAGGTAGATAGATCTCATTGGGTAGATGTGCAGTGCAAAAGAACCTGCAAAAGATAACTCTGCCTTGCCTTATTTTGGAGTAATTGCCCTTTGTTCATTTTTACTCTTTGTCAGGGACATAACTCTGACACTATAAGAAATATGGAAACGAAACTTTGTAAGTAGA